AATGCATCGATCGAGTGCGTAAAAGATCTCACAAAGTAATGCAAATTTTCCTCTGCGTTCCGCCAATGGATGGTGAAAAAAAAAGTAAACCTCCGTCGAACACTTGAATTCCTTGAATGTCCAACCTTTACTGTTTAAACGTAAGATCTCTGTATCCGGAGGAAATCTGTCTCGTTTCGAAATAATAATAGCGCCTTCAGACCGAACAATGTCCTCGAACTCTTTCTGAGAAGAGGACGATTCGGTCCTGTTCACTCTGGCGTAATATGCGGTCGAGAAAAAATGATAGAGCAAAACAAATCTCCTAATTTTCCAGCCCTCTTGCAACAACCAATATGGCGCTCGGATATTGTCGAGCAAAGTGCCCCTGACAAACACAAAGCAACAGAGACGCCCCGCAGGTCCCGTTTCTTTGAGACCCGTAAGTAAATCCTAAGCTCGATATCCCGAGCCACATCAAACGAAAAGTGAAGAGAGCGAGGGTAAAGGGAGAATTATGAGAAGCGTCCATTTTTATAATAAAAATGCCGTCTGTTTTTTAAATATAAATACCAGTTGCTCGTTTTTCAAAGTTGCTGCGTATTTTAAAGGAAGCGTCGAAATTTCATTTGATAACCTTTCTCTTTGTTCTGCGCATTTTTTTTTTGTTTATCATAGACACAAATTGGAAATTTTTATTGAAGCTTACAACATCTTACGAGCCCGCCTAAATGCCCGCCTTCATACCACTTGTAAGAAAAAAGGAATGTGAAATCCGGAGGTATCTAAATTTCCTTTTTTTTGATACATGAGTCACAAGGAACTTCCTTATAAAGAAGCTACGAAAAGTTTGTTTTTGTGTCAGTTTTACCGAGTGGTGTTCGAATCTAGCACAGAGTAGTCATTTTTTAGCCAGGAACATCATTGTCTCCTGTGTCTCCTTGGTCAAGACTAAACTCCCTTCTAGAGAACTAACCACCGATTTGCAGCCTTTTATTTTTCAACCCAATCGACCAAAACCGAATTCTACCTATTTTAGGGCCTGTTTACATGGAGGTGGGGGACCCCAGGTAGGTGAGGTAACCCGCCTGTCCATATAATTTCTTATTTTTTCTCGATCACGTTTACATGATAAGTGGGTTGACCCGCCTAGGCGGGTTGCCCATGTAAACGTCTCAAAGTGGGGTAACCCGCCTACCCGGGGTTGCCTTCATGGCAAAAAGCTCACAAGCGAAACACGTATGTTTTAAAACTTTGTACATTTCCTAGCCGTCTCATGGCAGAAATCACCAGAAACCACAACGGACACACAAGGAATGTAAAATGTTCACATTTCGGAATATTTAGCGTTGTAAAATCGACCATATTTCAAACTATTTCTTATGACGTATTAAGTCGATGGTTCCTCGCGTAACACAACGCGTGACACTTTTATAAATAAATACATACGTGTCCAAGAATTAATCTTTCGTCTTTCTCGAGACGTGAGCTTGGGACGCCTATGCTCAAACTCCCTAATCGCAAGCGTAACAACAACCTCACCCCTGCACCCCGGGGTCGTAAGATTGTATGTTAACGTGTTTTATTTTTCGACCACGGCTAAGCGGGTTACCTCACCTACCTGGGGTCCCCCACTTCCATGTAAACAGGCCCTTACCCTTTGAAATGATTGGGAAACTTCTCAAAATTGATTCTGTTATTTGACCTGCTAAGAAAGACACTCATAAGAATAAGCTTATACCTCAGAAGTAACTTGGAAAAAAAACAAAACAACAAACATCCTAGTTACATTGAGGAAATTGTGTTTTGGAATGTTGACAGGATACGAAATGTTTTCTCCTGTTTCACAACTTTACCTTGTATAGGTAATGTCGTCATATTTAAATGACGCGCAAAATTTTCTTTCACCCGATCGGTGCATCACTAGACAAGAAATCTCAAGTCTAAGGCGGGTGTGATAAACAGTCCTATAGCATATACATCGAGATATTACTTTTTTGAAAAATAAATTAGCAAGGCTGTCTATATAGGCTTGTCTTGGACAAAGTAATGCCGTAATATTCGACATCTTAATGAACTTTCATTCCTTTTCATATCCTTTACGAACAGTTTCCCTTGAAATAAATTCGAAGAAGAATCACGGTTTACTCTGAGTAATCCTCGAACCTTCATCCACAATCTTCAATAAAACATTGCCATCCTCAGTACACTTACCATGACAGATCGGGAAGAGATCCTCAGCTTTCGTAGTTCACAATGGTTTAGGGGTAAACGGTCTCAGTGGTCTTGACTGAAGACGAGTGTAGAGGAGCTTGATCGGGAAATCGCTCATAAAGCCAGCCATATACGTCATTGAATGTCTGGAATCTAAATGAAGTTTTACTACGGAGCTTTTCATCTTAAAAATTCCTTTCTCTTTTCCGCATTCCACCGATTCGTTTCACATCGTGAATTGAAAGTTAACAAATATGTTCATCACCTGTTTATTAAACGTAAGATATCCCATCTGTTCTCCTCTTTTCTGAGTACTTTTGATAATCATTAGTTTAAGGAATAGCTTAACGTTTACTTAAGCAAACCCAATGGAAAGCACGTCCTGCTTAGTCACGAGCCAAACACGACTGCCCGTAGACTGAATGGTAATAAAATGACACACAGAGTTAAAAAAAGATCATCATGTATCTCAATTATTACAGATTCAGATCTGGCGTACAAGGTCAAACCCTTCGTCTGCCGCAGACATCTGCGACGCGTCCTTACAAGATTAAGAGGCCACCATCATAATTCGTGTGTATCACATTATGGCTCACTGGGGAGCTCCAGGATGTCAAATTAAATGCTATGACAACAATGAAAGAATTTCACTTTAAAAAGTGTGGTCAATGCTGCCATCACGTATAAAGGTGAAACACAGGTGCTGCCAAATGCATGCGATTATGTTAAGTGTGCCCTTTGACTCTCAACAACTTCCCGTTCGAAAATGAACTCATTAGAAACGTTTTTTAGATGTCCGCTGGGAATTCGAATATATGGTGTGATCATAAAGGGAGACAATCTAACTGCGTCATTTCCTCTCAAAGATAGCTGATGTTATCATCTCCTGACTCAAGCGAGCGAATAGATTGGAGCAAAGATACCAACACGACGAAGAAAAAACAACCGCTCATTCGTATTCATTTTAAGTAAGCACCCAGCAAATGCGGTACTCTTATTACCTGCACTATCATCGTTAGTATTATTATCTTTATTATCATTATGATTATTATAATTATTATTATTTCTATTTTTCTTGTAATATTGCCATCATTATCACTATTTCACCATAACTATCACTATTACTATACTCTAACACTATTACTATTACTGTTACTGTAACTCACCATTATCATTGCTCACTGTTACTATGACTATTATTATTGAGTTCCTGTGTATACTTTTTTCTCCCATTCATTTAAGTCGATTAAGTACTTCACTAGTTGAATCCTACACCATAATTAAGTGACCCTTCTCTCCCGGATAAAATAATTTCAGAGATGTATAGCTCCAACAACTCAGTTAGGGCCTGATTAGAATTTCGATTCTTTCCAGTAACAAAACGTATTCATGGCAACTTGATCTCGAGTACAAACTCTGTCCTAGGTATTTGCGATTCCCCACGAGATTTATTAGTCTGATTAATTTCCACCCCAAATGTCAGTACTCTAGTATGCCAAAAAGATTTCTTTCCGTTAAACAAAACATGCCGCCAATGTGCAAAATTATCCTGCTGCAAGGTGGGCCCTCCCTAAACAAAAATAACAGTGACCGCGACCCGTTGTCTAAAGACTTTTCTATTTTTATTTATTTCCTTCTTCATTGGGAAGCTACCTCTAAATCGAGGAACTGAAAACTCTGAAGACCTATAATTTCAAGAAAAAACTACAGGTTGCATTGCAAATGACAAACTTTGAAGATCGCGCCACAACGCTCCCTCCAAATAGAATGAACTGCGTTCGTGGAGGAAGTCGGGCCGGCTCCGTTACAAATAAAGAGGGGAGCATTGGGGCCTATTAGAAACCGCAAAACTGTAGAAAAAATCATCCAAAACCGAAAAACTGAAAAAAAATTCGATCAAAACCGAAACCGCATGCAAAACTGTTAAAACCGATACATTTTCACATCCCAGTTATTAAAACCTTATTCGATCTGATATAGTGGTGATAAGTGGAGCATACAGAGTAAACTACACTAATTTCAATACAGGAATTATGAATGCCATGGAATTGGCATTCTTATCTTTTAGTATCTGCTTGAATTGACGGCTGCTCTCTCGAGGGCCTCGAGCGTGGTCTCTGCGGACTCAGCAGCTGGTAATGGAGCCCAGGAAATTCGCGCAAAAGTCCTCTATAGGATTGCAATTTTGCAGTCGCAAAAAGCTATAGCTCTGGAAAGTTTCACCGGTATCGCAGAGGTCATGAGTCGATTTTGTCGATTCTTTTGTGAATTTGGATTGGTAAGAGTTTTCTTTCATGTACAAACGAACAAAATGTTGAATAGAATGCTTTCATGGTCAACTTCTCAGACAACAGGGATCTACGACTACGCTTTTAGGCAAGTTTGCGCGACTTTTGGGATAGATAAATTTCAAGGAGAACAACAGAAAGCCATAGATATGTTTTTCGAAGGTAACGATGTCTCCGTTTCGTTACCAACTGGCCATGGAAATACAAGCCGCGCAGCCCAAGCTCCAGTTGTGAGACGATCATCTTGCGTAATAAGCGTCAAAGGAATAATGTGACAAAATACATCCATAGAGGGAACGGTAAAATACCTCCCACTTTTAGTAGTTTAGTGGTCCGCAAGTTCATCTTACGAATTGAAAAATTTTCCGGCCATTAAATATGTAATATTGAATGAGCAAATAATGAATGAAAAAAAATGAAAAGTAAACTCGACTTTCACATTCAACATTTCTTTACTTATCATTTAAAAAGAAAAATTATTGGGGTGGTTTTCATAGTGGGCATTCTCTCTGATCCACATCAGTTTGGATATCTGGTGAAGTGAGGTCTGTGTTTGTAACGAAGTTTGTAGAGCTGATTTGCAACTGGTATGCATACTGGAGACCTACAAGTCTTCTTAACTTCTTTGTTGTAAAATTCCTTTCTGGCTGGAAACTTTTCGTCCGCAACCTTGAGATTACATTTCCTCTGAAACACATATAGAGGAAAATCATGACTGACAAGTAGTTCATGTTCTCTTGTGACAAGTTATTACGAGAACAAGGTGGAGGTTTGTTCTGAATTTTTTTTTTAAAATAGCAGCATTTTATACACTTGGATGTAATCGTATGATCTTTGGGGAAAATACTCAACACACAAACCCACCCACACTTGTCCTAAATATGTCGATGATACCAATTTCAAACATGGCTGCTGGCTTTCTAACAATAACAATCATACATCTCTGTAGTTCTGTTGAAGGAAGTTTGTCTTTATTGCACTTTGGTATCATCGAATCAACCTTATCTTACTTAATCTGTGCATTCTAGCTTAATTAGAATTAGAAATGTACAAGGTCAGATCAGGGCCTGGTGGTTCAAGAATGGGTTAAGAGAACCTAGGGTTCGTGTGAAATCTAATCTCAGTTCTGAAAGTTTTGTAAGAAAATTCAGTACAGTTCTTTTTGCCTACAATTTGATGATTGGGTGCTTTAAAAAAGAACGGAGAAAATTATCTGGAAAGGGCTTTTCAATAAAGGATTAAAGAAACCGGTGTTAAAATTTAACTCTAACCTTGAGTTAGCACTAGTCGGCCTTGGAACAACTAAGCCTAAGAGATTTGGGGCAGTCTGTCCTCTAATAGGTCGTTAGCCATTCAAGGAAAACAAAATTATGAAGAAACCGTTATGGTAACTGGAGATATCCTAGAAAATATACCTACCATATATGCATGAGAGGTTTTCATCTTTGGTAAATCTGTGAAGGGCTTAGGGAGGTGGTACCTACTGTAAATTCCATTTTCAATAATCTTGTTCTTTTGTAGCTGACAAGACAAAAGACAAACTTGCTACAAGAAAGATGAAAGCTTGATTGTAAATAACTGCCTGTAGTTATTGCATTTTTCCCAGCATGGAGCAAGTAGGAGTATTATTAACACATTGTTGTGCGGATAATCCAGTGTAAGTTATCCCCTTAAACAACAGATTACTTTGCGATTTTGAAGAGAGAAGAGTAAACATTTCGCGATAGTTCGGCTCAAGATTTTGCGAAACATTTTGTATTTTCTATTTACGTAAATGATTTCGCTTTTGTTTCCTGCCCTTGACTTGAATGAAACAACATTTTTATTGTCAAATCTAACCGAAACCTGAGAGCGATATTTCAAGTCAACAATACGAACAAAAAAAACATCGCGAACTTCGTAAAATAACACAATACAAACTTTATGCAGTGAAATACTAGCTTGATCACTTTCGCATTATAAAGGGTTATGCAGTCAATTGCCGATGATTCGAACCCTTGTTAACTCGAACCTCGCGCTACCTCGAACCAAAATCGATTTCCCCTGGATTTCCGTCATACATGTATTGTATTTTTACCCTTGGTAACTCGAACCCTCAATAATTCGAACCTTCCGCCAATTCGAGGCAGCTTTCGTTTCCCTTCAGGTCATTCTTTATATACATTATTTACGTTACGTTGTGAATTCTGCAGTGATTTAGTGTTCTATTCTCACTCGACTTCTCTATTATAAAATTTGATTAAAATGTATACTGTTGAGTAAAAAAACAGTAAACACCGTTTTTCCATTTTTCGTTTCCGATCCTTTGGTTTCAACACCCGATAACTCGAACCTCTTACAATTTTCCTTGAAGGTTCGAGTTATCAAGATTCGACTGTGCATTTGTAACGGTGTATCCTTGTATCGAGAATTGAATGCAATGAAAAATTTCTCATATTTCGGTTCAATGAGGTGCCTCTTGGAAATCTGCAAATTTTTTTGTATGTGCTTATTAGTTAAATGCATATTCAAAAAGGAAGAAGACCACCTATTTATAAATCAAGTAAAGCCTTTACATCAGACCTCATCATCCTTCACAAAAAAAAAAACACTCACCCGTCTTTTTTCATCAAGCCAGTCTTGGACTAAATTGCCGAAGGAACACTGTCGCTCCAAATGTCTCAATCTTAGTTCTGTAGTTCGCTCGCTAAGAGCCTCCTTTATATTAATCTTTGGATTAGTTTTCTTTATGATTCCATCATTAAAATACATTTCTTTCCTTCTATCCTTCGTCTATCTCGCACGCGGATGTAATTCAAAGTTGTGCTGTATGTGGTTACAAATTAGAACCACCGTAAAGATTTGTGACGTTTAAATTAATTTTACGGTGCGAATCAATAAATGGACGATATTGTAAAAAAATAAGAAAGGAAATCAAAATTTTCACCCACAGTTGAAATCAAAATTTAAAAGAAATAACTCACCCATTTACTATATTCATTTTGTTGGGAACATGTATCGAAGTACACGAAGGGACTGATTATTTGAAAGACATTTAGTGCTTATCAAGAACTTAAAGGTTGGACTTGATATTTTATATACAGTTGTATAAATAAAAAGAAAACATATATATATACATACAATGGGCAGTTACGACGGTGCCGAAACATGCGAGCTAGCGGGAAGTTTCCTCCTTTCCCAACTGCAAGAACTCAACATCAACATTGGACTTTACAGAGACGACGGACTGGTTATTTCAAACACCACACCGAGAGACACAGAAAACTTCAAAAAAGAAATATGCCGCATCTTCAATCACAACGGACTACGTATCACCATCGAAGCCAACAAACATACCATCAATTTCTTAGACGTCACTTTCAACCCAAACAAGAACAACTACCAGCCCTTCGCGAGGGGGGCATTGGGATTTTCGGTTTTGCGGTTTTGGCTATTTTTTAGATGGGTTTTTCGGTTTTTGTGTGTTTTTCGGTTTTGGTTCATTGCGGTTTGCGGATTTTCTGTCTTTTAGCATTTGGTTTTCGGTTTTCACGAAAAATACTAACGGGCTTTCGGATTTGATATCCGATACGGTTTTCGGATTTTCCTATTTAACCTATTTGGGTTCCGGTTTCTCTTCGATCTGAACGGCAATTACGCGCCTCCACTGTTCTCGAATAGCCGCTAAACGCAAATGTTAGCGAGAGGAATGCGTGATAAACGAATTGAAATATCGCAGGGATCCCTAGGTGGCCTACGTATAACCGTACCCTAATCCTCCCCCTCCGGTACACTCTACACTACGAACCACCCACGACTAACAACCGAAAAAACAGACAACGGAACAACATTCTCTGGTACAACCCCTCATTCAGCAAAAACGTCAGCACCAATATGGGACACAGATTCCTTGCCCTAGTAGACAAGCACTTCCTTAAAGATCACAAACTTAGAAAAATCTTTAATCGTAACACAATCAAGATCAGTTACAGCTGCATGAATAACACTAAACAGATCATCGACAACCACAACAAATGCATTCTAAATTCTTCCAAACACATCAATGACACCGCAGATTACACCAACACAAAAGACACCAAAACTTGCAAGTTCCGACAGAAGACAACATGCCCACTTAACGGAAACTGCCTCCAATCATCTCTAATCTACCAAGCCACCGTCACACGCAAGGACAACAGCACCACTGTAACATATATCGGACTCACAGAAAACGACTTCAAGACTAGATACAGAAACCACTCTGCATCATTCCGTCAAACAAAACTCTGAAACTCTACCGAACTCAGCAAACATATCTGGACCCTTAAAGAAAATAACATTAACCACTATAATTCATGGCGCATCCTTACATCAAGATCGCCCTACAACAGCGCGAACAAAAGATGCAACCTCTGCCTCAAAGAAAAATTACTCATCATTCGCCGACCCGAATTATCATCACTCAATAAACGTAATGAGCTCGTGTCCTCATGCTGCCACAGAAACAAAACGTTACTGCGTAACAATTGAAGTATTATTTTTATGCAAATTTATAAAGTATATAAAATATAAACGATGGTAAGAATATTCTTAACTCTGTTCTGTCTGACGAGCGCTTAGGCGCGAAACTCAGAGTCCCAGAGAATCGATGCGTCCTCTTTAATTCTTTAACTTATGTATGAATACATTTATATATAAATACTGGCATCTTATGAGGTTTCACCCTATTATTAAGTATAGCTGTAGGAAACAGAATGTAGACGGTAGAAACCTCTTTATGGAGTTGCAAAACTGAATCAAACACTTATAAACCACGAATGATCAGCTAAGTCGCATTTGGAACAACCGTTCTTGGTCTACTGAGTAAATACATTCCATTTGAGGCCCATTATGCCGGCTGATATTTAGCGATGGCTGAACCAATGAAATCTTTACCATATTAAATTGAAGTGTTGGTGAAGGATTAAACATCGGCTATCGATAACGTTAAGTTTCCAAGAATCTCTTAAGGCACTATTCTTCATGAAAAAACCCACTTCTCGATCGAGGAGATTGGACTCGTGCCAATCTTCCCTCCGCCCTAATTTCGAAACATGGCGTCTGCGTGCTCACGTAGAGTTGTGAAGACTGTTCACATCTCTTCTATTATTCCCAACTTAGTGGACGATCTTACAAGACGTTTACCTCAAATAACATTAATCAATGTTCCTGTTGGATGCACTGGAGGTAAATCAGCATGATTTAAAATTTTAAACCCATCATTTCAATCAGCAAGGGTGTTCTTGTTCTCGGCCCACATTACAACACACTTCATGGCCCGGCCTCGAACAAGTGAAGGACCTAAGTTGGAGAAGCAGGGGAGCGTTGGGAGTGTATTCATAGCGTTTACCCCATGAATTTAAAGAAGTCATCGACTTCATTTGTATTTGAAGGTGTAAAAACATCTTAGTTGGGGTATTTTTAATTGAGCACGCCTCTGTATTTCATTACCGCATTAGATCGGGGTGTTTGACATACAGGATTGAGACATTTTAATTTACATATTTCATGACTAAATATATAGAGAATACATATTTCCCTTTGACTGCAATGTCTGTTTAACCCACAAGTGATAAGTAAGGGTGAAGTTCAGTGGACCCACTGAGAACAGTAGGTAACCATGACAACCGCATTGATGGCATCTGTCCAGACACCAACAAACAGGTAATCCGTAATTGACCAACTGGTAGGCAAAGTAAGGCTGTTGTAGTTTGGAAAAATTGAGACCTGAACATAACTCTATACTGCTAGTAAAAAGCCTAGAGGGAAAGCTGTTACTTTCAAACAGCCATGGTGATGCAATGTAACAGATGCATTCCTCAGCAGCATTATTTTGAGTTGGATGGGATTTAATTGCATATAGCTAAATTTGTTCTTAATTTAATTTTTTTTTGTCTACTAGAGTTCTCAAATTTGCAAAGGATAAAATACTGTAGTTTAGTCATTGTTACATCAATATCCTGTCAGCATATGGCATTGGTTATGTGCCTTTAACACAGTTTAATGATTCCTAATGAATTCTAAAGATGTTATTGTCCTTAATCATGTCTGCATACAGAGGTGGAGAAGCTACAAGAGGCTAAAATATTACTGACTGATCCAAACACTGCACCACAACATTTATCCAAACTTTCCAAACTTGAATGGATGCAGCTGACCTGGGCTGGAATAGATAAAGCTATTCCATATATCTTATCTCAGCAAAACACCTCACTGAAGGTAACAAGATTTGGTGGTGTCTTTGGTCCTGCTATGGCTCAGTATGTTATTGGTCAAATTGCCTCTTGGGAGAGGGATTTCAGAAAATTATGGAGTGATCAACAGAAATGCGACTGGTAGGAAACTATATGTTTACCCTGACTGTAGCACACCTTTATCTATTAAGATTAACTATTTCTTGGGTCAGTGAGTGAAAATGTAAGGTCTTACAAATAATGTATCATAATGATTGGTAATCTTTTGGTACTTCTGGGCCTAGTTTTTCAAACAGATAAATTGCTCTCCAGCATATACGTATTAATTATACATATCTACCAGAGTGAGATTTATCTAATGGATAGCATCATCCACACTTTGAACAACTGGGGCCTGAGTATTACATATCATTATGCTCACTGATAGCAAAGAAACTGAGGAGTTGAAGATACATCACAGACGATTTTACAATATTTATTTGATCCCTGTTTTATTGTTTTCCCTCAAAGGTGGCCCTCATGACAATAGTTGAGAGCATCACAAAATGAAATTGTAACCTTAGAGTTTGCATGTGGTATTAACCCTTTACACTTTAACGCCAGTCTGCAAAGTATCCAATTACTAATCTTTAAACATTTCCTATGTTACTGTCAAAGAGAATTTGTCAGACAATCAAGAGCTTCTCTAGTTTTTGATCATTTGATTCATTCTCATAACCTTGATGTTTGTTTCAGGAATGATACTGTAAGGAGAAATTGGATGCTAGTTACTCCTACAGTTAAAGGGTTATTAACACCCTAACATCGGTATACATATTCTCAGTACTGTTATCTTCACATTTTGTAAGGTGCTAACAAGGAGAATTTGTTTCATAATCAAGAGCCTATTCAGTTGGTGATCATTTTCTTTATTCTTGTGATCTTAATGGTTTATTTAGGGGTGATATTGTAAGGAGAAATTATATGCTAGTCTCTCTCAGGGGTGAAAAGGTTAAAGTGATCCAATGGTTAAATGTAACTTTTAGTGGCGTGAGCATAACTTTACTGCCTTTGAGAGACATTTTACATTTGTCATCACTCTGAATAAAATTATTTGAAAAAAAAAAAACATTATGTGAGGAAAATCATCAGAATTCATTTTTATGAAATGTGTTCATGATGTTTAATTTTTTGTGTTAATCACAAGACTTTTAATTGTTTTTCAAGGAATACTGATCACTATTCTTACCGTGTGATGCCAAAACTGACCATTGGTATTCTTGGACTAGGAGACATTGGAGAGTATGTTGCAAAGATGTGCAAAGCTCTTGGTATGACTGTCTGGGGTGTTGGGCGTCGTGAAAAGTCGGATAGACAAGATACAGTTGACCACTATACAACTATATCAAGACTTCCTGAAGTTCTACAGTCATGTGACTATGTATGTAACTTATTACCAAGTACACCTGCCACAAAGTATCTTTTATCTGGAAGAGTACTTGAGAGTGGTAAAGACAAGCGTCCCGTTTTCATTAATGTTGGCAGAGGAAATGTAATAGATGAAAAAAGTCTAATATATGCATTAGATCGAGGGTGGATATCAGGTGCTATTTTAGATGTGTGTGAAGTTGAACCACTACCAAAGGAAAGTCCTTTGTGGAAGATGCCTCAAGTGATAATCACACCTCACATTGCAGCAATTTCATTTCCAGAAGAGGTAAATTGAACGTGAGCTTGAAAGAGTGAAGACCAGGAAACATTAAAAATCAGTGATATGTTCCAGAAGTTGAGGACAAGATATTAATTAGACTGAGTAACACATGTAAGGTAATCAAGTATTATCAACTGGCAAGTGAATTGACAACGTAAATTGGCCATCATAAAGAGTTGAAAGACTGATGTTTCAAGTGTTAGCTCTTTGTCAGAGTGATTGAGGACTGATAGTAAAAAAGATTGAGGAGAGGAAAAAAGGGTAAGAGAAAGCAGACTATACAAATAACTGTACACACAATCATACTATAAAATAATTCCATACAATCGCTCTGATGAAGGGCTAACGCTTGAAACGTCAGCTTTTAAGCTCCTGACAGTGGACAATTTACGTCATCAACTCAGTTGATAATACTAAATTACCCAGTTATACTCTCCCACCGACGCAGCACCACAGTTCTTTGAGAAATTTACCCCTTTAATCATGAGTAACATATGTAGCGAGAGCTATTTTAAGGATTAATTGGGAAATTGGTTTCAAAGTTTCATTGGAAAAATTTGCACATAATTTTCTTGATGGAATTATGTGACATGAGGTCTATTTTGTAATGGATGAAACCACTGCTAAATTTAATGGATAGGAAATCAAAAATTTTGGAACGGCAACAAAAACAGCAGTGACTCATCTCACCTTAGTAACACAGATAAATAAACTGAAGGAGTAGCTAGGGAATGTGGTCTGGATAACAAAGTCAGGATGAACTTGATATGGCTTGTAGGTCATCACACTTTTTAATTAAAGCAGTTCTTGACCTGACTAATTACTATCATTATTAAAATGTGTAATTGCTGCCCATGTGGGAAAACATTTCAATTCTGTGCGATTTATTCGCGTTCAGGGCATCGGCTTTCGATTCAGGGCATCGTCTTTACTTCGTTTCGAAGCGGGTAGTGGCCGGTCTTGTTGGCGTGCTCAGAAACGGCGGAGGTCTGGGTACGGGCTCAACGTATATCCCTCTTGTGTTCTTTCATTCACTCTTGTATAGGTCTTCCCGTTTCACCAATGTAGATTTTGCCGGCATCGTGGTGCTTCACACAAAGAAGGGATGCTAAGCCCCTTTCTGTAAGCTTTCACCCGATTTGTTCGCGCCTAATTTCACAATATACCACAAAATCTTACCTTGTACGTTTCATACGATTTCATAAACGTCGGCAAAAATCACTGAGCGGAATTCACTCTGCCTTCGCTTTACGAAATCCTCGCGACATCAAGATTTTTTATTTCATTTCATGTAACACTGAAACTCGCTATTCTTCTTGCTTTTAATGGTTATCGTTCCATAATTGAGACACTACGCATAACGTGAGAGTCAATTTGCTACTGGTGGTGAGATGACTTTTGGTGGTGGTGGCGAGTTGACCAGATACCAAAGAATATGTAGCACAAGCTTTTCACACGACAACACTTTTTAATTCATTTAATTCATTTACACCTAAAGACGGACTAAATACAATAATAATGATAATAGTAATAATAAAATTATTACGAACTGCATGTACATCAAATCTTTCTTTTTAGCTACTTCTCTTCTATGTAGCCCTTGAAACTAATTGACAATTAGCTTCTTTCACAAATTCTTTCACGTTTTTCTTTCCATGAATGTAAAAGCACCTCCTTAAATTTCTATATCTTACAGGTAAAGATTAGGTAATGAGCTTGCTAGCCATCTTGCCGCTGGGGTTGCCTCTTTAGATCGTGAGAACTGAATGGCCTCGTGTTTTGATTTCAAATCCTGTAGTTTTGTTTGACAAGCTAGGCTCTGCCAGAGAAGGTTTTTCTCCTTAGTTCGGAGAAGGCTGTGGAGAAATGAAGCCAACTGTGGTAAGGAAGGTATTCTTATCATGCTAGGAAGAAAAAGTGTCCCACTGCGTGAATGTTTCACCAAAGTTACTATGAGATCCTAACTAATCGCATAAAATCAGGACGAATTTTTGATGCTTTAGAGGAAAGAAACGTTTTGGTAAGTAACTAGGCGACTTTTTAAGAGCGCAGATCACTCATAAGACCCTAAATACTTAACTGAGATTTTAAAAACCCTCTTCCATACCAAGTAAGTACAAAGAAGGTAGAGAACTGATGTGACCTTAGAGACCTGGGAAAAACACTTAAAGAGCACTTGCACTCACTTGTAATTGTTCTCCATCAGCTGACATCTCTCTTGCGTAAGTTTCAATGCAACTTCTCCGAAAAAAAGTTTTCTCTGCAAAGTTTGAATTTCTTTTTCCATTTCTGTCATTCCACAGTATGCCTCAATTGCATCGGTTACAGTATCCGAGTTATCACTTTGGTGACTTGGAAACTGATCAAGTAACCTACCGAAAAACATCAAAGGAATATCAAAACAGCGCCTTTTTGAAATACTGAAAAGCTAACTATTACTCCGCGCGAGAAACCATTTTGAAATCTGATGAGTGGAGAAAATTCAAAGTAAATATTTTCACGGGATTCTATTCTGTGTCTTTTTCTGTCTACTGTTGCAGAGAGTATTAGGAGGGATTAAGACAGAGAGAAAACCAGACTCTAATGCTTAAAATATATTTTGTCTGGCGTCGCTTGATAATTTTTCTGTTGTCAAAATAGGATAGTAGTCTAATAGTCTCATTTGACATGACCAAGCTAGAATTCAGTGGTTACTTACTTATTTTCAAGCAGCAGTTGTTCTTGGAGTCGAGCGATACACTCTTGAGCCTCCTTCAACTGCTCCCTCAACCTTCTATTGTAGGAAAGAACAAAACAGATCAATGATGGCAAAAGTTTATCATAACTACCCTACTAAAACTAAAAAAGAATTTCAAAGCGACTAGTAAACCATCTAACATCAAATACCAAAAAATAAACACCGAATACGTAAGAAACTTTCAAGGAAGCGTAAGGAACTGAAAACGTCTTTACGAAACAGTACTTCATCTTTTTCAGCTTCCGTTCTTTCTGAAATCTTCTCAAGAATCCCTTACCTTTTGCTAACCTTCCTTCCTTTTCTCTTTGACTTGAATAAACTCAAAGCTGATCCCATTTTATAACTCTTCTTATGGCGTTTCTGGCAAAAAACCTGTGAGTTTGAAAAGACACGGCTAACCGAAGGCTTTTCTTTTTGGGTGAAGTGTCTCGCACTGTTACGCAACAAATGTAAAGCACGTGCGTCTCAACGAACCAATCGCTGAGATGTTGCTTTCGTCGTTATCCCGCACTGGAGCGCGAGCTAAAGGAAAACTTTGACAATAATAATGTAATTGTCTGATAAAACTGACGCAAGTCTTTATTGTATTTAAAGCGGCAAATTCATTTTTTAAAAAGTCAACAGAGAGGTAATAAATTACCTCGAACATTTGCATCATGCTAAGTCAGCGCACATTTCAATAGGATAAAATGATATGTTAATGATGTGCATTATTTTTTCACGTAATAGCCCATTTCGCATGTCTAGCTACTTCAAAGTTCACTATATCTTCAACATATAAGCTCGGCTACAGGTATAAAAAGATGAAAGGAATAGTACGAATTAAGAGAACCTACGGAAAGCAAAGAGTATCAAGCCCTTGTTCGGGCTTTTTCTCTCTAAACTGACTAAACTGACCGCTCTAATGAGACGGTGGATCAAACGTTTATGACTAACAAACATCAGCCGCACAGAACAGGATTTTATGGATTTTACTTGGACATGTTGCGGTCCTACAAGTAGGGGCTCATGAAGCAGGTTGCATGAGCGTCTAAGTGAAAACATTCCCCATGTTTTAACGAAAATTTTCTATAAAAAGTTACTTTTTTTTCTCAAGAAGGCGGACTTGAAATTTATCTTAAGTAAATTATGGTAGTAAGACTAACAATGCGCAGTTAAATTTAACAAAATGTTTTTTCGCGATTTCAAACATTTTTCTGGATCTCAGAAAGGGATTGTCCCCTATCGGCTTCTGTAGTTCCGTGTAGACCAGTTCATACTAACGCAGATTTTTCAATTTCGTGACCAACTCCAGCGTTTTGGTACCGGTTACAAACCATTTGACGACTAGCCGTAGTAAACCGCTCCGCTGGGGATTTTAAATCCAGAGTACTTTTAGACCCATGTGATTTGTGGTGTAAAGGATAAAATCACGATCAACCAGGTCTCCGTTAAGGAAACAATAACAAAGGATTTCCTTAGCAACAAGGCACTCAAGTCATTGATCTTATTTCGAAGGCTCCTGGTATTTAATAGTAAGTACCTTAAGAAGTTGAAGGAACAAAGTGAGGATTCAGCAGGACCTGCGGTTGACGAACTCATATTCAATCCAGTTTCATTCACAAGGAAAGATTCAAAAAATGAATGAGCGAGAGTGTAGTCGTCACGGGAAAATCTCAAACTGAGGCCTTGCCGTATTGACTGAGTGATAGCGAGGTCAGTACGGCCAGGCCAAGGTCCAAGGTTTGAGATTTTCCCGTAACGACCGAACGGTCGAAGTTATTGTTGTTTATTATTCGAATAAACCCCATTGAGTATATTTGATGTTTAGAGATGTTGCTTTTTCAGTCGTCAAGCTTGAACGTACCATAATAAAACACATCACCATTTTAGTATGCTCAAGCTCGGAGAATTTAGAGAACTCTTCTTTTTTTTCAAAATCACGCGGTGATCCGGCATGTTCCAGTGTTCCGGTGTTCCGGTGTTCCGGTGTTCCGGTGTTCCTGATTTTAAAATTTGCTTAGCACGACTAAAGGAGTCAAATATGGCGGACGGGGAAGGCTTTAAGGAAATGACGGCTTATTTTGTGCCTTACATATACCTCAGAATAGCCCATTGATGAAAACTTGTACTTCTGCTGACGATTCCCTCTGAAAACTTACGAATTTATAGTTTATTTTGCAACCTGTGACTTAGTATGATTCTGCAAGCTTGATCCAGCTAAATGAACGGTATGAACGACCTGTGAAACTCTGTATACAGGTAGGTTCATGCACAATTGATTGATATGACCCCTTCTGTATTGGGATATTTTCCTTTCATTCTCTAGGATTGCAGGTGAAAGAAAACTGCCTTGTTTACAAGGAGATTCAACATGTGGGACCCAATAATATCAACGTATTATACTTGCTTAGATTTTTCGAGTTCTACGTTCTCTCGGTCTGTGTTTTAAGAATGTGTATCGATGTCTACATCTGTGTTTTCGTGGTCTGTATTTTCCGTACGCTTCGGTTTTCTAAGCTTGTGTTTGAAAGTTGAATATTTGGCAAAACTATTCACCGAGATGGAGGTGGTTAGTGAGGGACATTTACCGCTAGCCACCCCCGCTTTGGTGATTTGGTTTTTTTTTCCGATATATATATACTTAAACAGTGACATAATATAACACCAAGAGATGATTCTAAGCATGTTGAACGTTATCACATACAACAAAATTTTTAAGTATGTATTCAAAAACTTAGATTTTTTAATGAAAGTTGAATATTATCATGTGGCAGAAATTTCATAGCATGTATTCGCTGGCTTAGATTGTATCATAAATGTGAATATTTAAGCCTGAGTAGAATAATTTTTTTATGAAAAACACACAAAATAAGGCGCTCTAACAACTAGTCTCTGTTATGTTTGACAAGGACTGGAAGACAAAAGCAACTTGTGCTTTAACATGATTGACAACTTCATGAACACCTATGCCAGTGATTAGATTTTGTTGTTTTCACCAAAATTGGCAAAAATGTTGCAATCTGATAGGCTAGTGTGCTGTTGTTGATAAGAGTATAGACGACACTGCTGGTGTGTCTTGCAATACCTTTATCAGCCCTCAACATGGATGATGCAAAAATTTTGACTATGATGTTGTGGCAAAAAATCTATCGACAGTAATTTAGGCTGTTATGTACTGCTATTGTCAGTTTCAAAATTTAGTGCCCTTTCTATAAATCACCTCACGCAAGGTGATTATAGTGACATGTGACAACCCTCAACCAATTAGAGCATGCACATCTCTATAATCCCCTGAGCAATTATACTTATGCCATATAAATAAATTTTTAAAGCATTTATATTTACTGGCTTAGATTTTGCTATGAATGTTGGATATTATTAATATTTAATAATCCAACAACTTTTGTTGCTAACATCCAATTGGTCTAAATATATCACTTGACTGAATATCCCATGGCTAAAGCAGGAGAGTATGGAAGGATATATGCCACATGATATTCCCCAATTTTCAAACCTGACTTTCAATACTGTAAGCTCTGCATTAAAATTTAATCCAGTGAAGATAGCAGAGAATTACATGATTGTTACATATAAAGAAACATTTTTGCCCAATATGGAGGCTATATTGGTTAAATAACAAATTTTTAAAATGTTTTTTTATTGGCATAAATTTTATTATGAATATTGAATATCATCATATAATTAGATATTTTAATTGTATTTTAACTTCCTTAAATTTTGTCATGTATGTCAATATCTAATGAAGAAATAAGTATTAAAAAGTGGTCATAGAGAATGTTGTGGTTTATTGTGGTTTTGTAGATATTAAGTGAATGTCTTATCATTTAACTAAATATGATTAGTCAAGCTAATTAAATTGTATTGTTTGCCAAGTTTTGACTGCTTTACTGCTAGTCCTTATAAGGCAATGAGGTTGAAAAATTGCCATATTGTTATTGGTGTGTCTTGCATGCTGTGTTTGTGTATGTTGATCCTAATTTTTTCTGAATACTAATTTTATTCCTTAATGCTTTTTTACTGATTGGTTGTTGTGCTTTAAAAAGTTGCATATGTATTTATCAGTTAAAAATTTCTCATTGTGTAGAACTCAACAATTGCATGATGAATACTTTTGTATAACATACTCGCCATAACAACCAGGGGGTGGGCTCAAAGGAGACAAATGCATGTAAGCCAGCTTATATGCAGAAAAAAGACAAGGTTCGGAAACCTGATACCACACTGTAGGCATTTGTATTGTTTCAGAGGGCCAGGAAATCTTAGTGGAAAGTAGTAAGTGAATTGACAGAGGTATGTTTTAGTGTGTCTGTTGTCTTCATTCAATAAGAACTATAGAAACAGCCACTTTCAGTCAGTCACTGAACACCAGCTGACCCAAATATGTCAAACCTGCCTGGTTGCAGGTTATGGGGCACCATGAAGGTCCCATGATTAAGTAAACCTCTCTCTTTAGGGCACTATCTCATATGAAAAGGATTTCTTATGGCTTAGCTACTGGTAACTTAATTATACCTTTTTGGTTGTGGATGAAGTATGCCTAGGAGCTCACACCTGCAATACCTCATATCTTGAATGTCTCCTTGGCTAAAAAGCAGTTGTCAAAGATTTAGAGGGCTGCTACTTTGGGCAAGCTTAGACCAATAGACAGCCATTGACATCAAGACAAGAATTTTTTTAGTGATTGATTTTGGATTCTGAATTGAGGAAATCAGTTTCATGCTTTATTCTTTCAAATCAATTTACCTTCAAGAAAGATTAGGGAACTGAGACTGCTTTTATATAAGGAAAAATAAGAATTTTTGGATGTGATGGCATGATGGCTCAGTGTTTGAGTTCTTCTTTTGACTTTTGGAAAGCCCTTTCAGTTTCTTACAGAACACAACTTGTTGATACTGTTCTGAGGCCTGTACTTTTTACCATTATGGTTCAAAATCCTGTATTTGAGTGACTGAATTGTGTGATTTCAAAATGGATGTAATAAAGTGGTGATTGAACTTCCTGTCATGTTGCAGTTTTGGTCTGAAGTCGTACCTGTGATTTCAAATCAAATTTGTACTAAGTGCTTATTTGATTTTGAGATGATGTGTTTGATTTCAGTCTAAATTGCACTCTCTCACTTCCATTATCATAATTATTTATCATCATTATTATTATTTGACATTTACCCAATTGCACTGAGACAAGATTGAGTGAAGTTTACATAGTCACTGGCCTTTGTTAGATGCATATAATCATCAGCATACATCCTTTAATAACAATTATTTGAGCAGCATTGACTTGACGCATTCTTGATATTTATATATATTTGGTGTAGAATTGAATTTTAGAAGCAAAGTAGTGCTCTGATTGCCCTCTCAAAGTCCAGATGTCCTTTGTTATGGCCTCTGAGCAACTCACAAAGGATTTCTGCCAGAAAATATTGTAATCATAGCAGGAATAAATGAGTTAAAATAATCTTTTTGTGATGTGTAATCTCAATTTTTTTTAGTGTACTAAAACAACTATTCACATACCCCAGTGGCAGCAGCTTAGATCCACCACTGGCCACGAACACTGAGGTGAATAGCTGTTAATTAGTATAATTGCTGAGGTGATTATAGAAATCTGCATGCTCTGATTGGTCAAGAATTGCATCATATCTTGCTATAATCACCACAGGCGAGGTGAGTATAGAAGGGGCGCTAAATTTCAAAATCCAGGCTGTCTCATGTGTTGTCAATGTTACACAGGATGTGATAAATGAAATGGAAGGAAGTACAATTTTGAAGAGCACAAAAGATGCTTCTAAGTTTGGGGTAACTTTTCGAAAGAAAGATATGAAGCTTTTGCTGATTGAGTTGAGTAAACCCCTTATATTGTAATGTAAACTGGCTGTAATCTCGATACGAATTATCAGAACAATTGCAACTGTATAATGGTTACAAAACCAAAATGAATTTATAACAGAATTTGAAAGCACCTGAGCAATTATACTAAAACAATTATTCGCCTCAGGCTCAGTGAATATTGTTGAATAATACCCTCAAATTTGTCTTTGGGATTATACATATGTTATTTGCCGGCTGGGAGGTCCGTATGGTGAAAAACTGTGACCGAGGTCTTGAAAATACTGTCCGAGGCCGTAGGCCCGTGGGCAGAGATAGGAAAATACTGACCGGGTAAAGAACCAATCAGATTGCGAGATTCGTTACCGTGCCCTCTAAAAAAACAATAATAGACAATATTCACTTTGTTTGAGGCAAATATTTTTCAAATAGTAAGTGGTGAGAACAATAAAGGGCCTAAAATTGTCAGTAGAGAAACTCTTATTCATGAAGGGGAACTGGCCATGCAAGCCGTCACTAAGTGGACCTTTAACCCTTTTACTCCCATGAGTGACCAAGACAAAATTTTTTCTTATATTATCCATACAATAAGAGAAAAGTGATGAGAATGGAGAAAAATATCAATTAGAGAGTTATTAGTGGGTCGCCATACCAAGTTTTATTGTTTTTTTAGAGGGCACGGTAACGAATCTTGCAATCTGATTGGTTCTTTACCCGGTCAGTATTTTCCTATCTCTGCCCACGGGCCACGGTAACGCTTTCGTGAGTCGCCGAGTACATCCCAACTTTCGTTGTCATTTTTCATAAATATACCTCGTTTTCCGGCTGGGCAGTATTTTTAAGCAAACACGTCGGTCACTACCTCAAGCCGATAAATAACTTCTGAATCCTCTCTTTTCTCTCTATCAAATCACTTTGGTTGACAGAAAAATATTGGTTTCAGAATGAATTTGTATAAACAATATTGTCATTTCGTTGGTTGACAAGCGGCCTAAAAACCGTCTGCAATTAATTTTAATCGTTCACAAAAAGTACCCAGAAAGTTGAAACGTGAGGTATTTGGTTACAGTTAAACTGAACGATGGAACTTTCATTCATTTAATATCTGAATTTTCTCGAGCAATTTGTTCATAGTGAAAGAGCGAGCGAAGTTTTAATTTAAGTTCTACAACAAATATACGCTCCTGGTGAGTCTTTCCAATTCCGTTCAATTTGGACATTTGTACCTTAAATTGCACAGCAGAAATTGAAGGAATTTTTTGAGAAAAGGCCGCATTACATTCCCTTGTGTCTCGTTGGAGTGTGCCGTTCGAATTTAGTTTTTGTGAAGGAAAGATCAGAGTTAAACACGCCATTACAGCAAACAAACGAGCAAACTCTCACAACTTCAAAATAAAAAAATTGAATTTACTCACAATTACTTTCCTCGCCGTTTACTTAATGAACAGAGGTAAATCTTCGTACATGAATGAATGGTCGATGAGAGTGAATAATACTTTCCGTTGGATCATTAACTGATTTTGAAGAAAACATTGTCGTGACAGTCCTTGCCAAACTAGTCCTGTTTGTTTTCAAATGTTCCTACGCTTTTTTTTTCTTGCGCGCTCTCTAATTGACAGGTGTCAGATTGTGACAGATACTTGTAAAAATAATGTTTCAAAGTTTGTTTGGAAGCCTTTTAAATCACCTTTATCGTTACGGAAATGAAAATGTTTTGCTGAGGCATCTCTCTTAAATTTGCATCACCTCTATTTTAACTACCATTTACCCACTCAAAAATTGTTCAGTTTATGGAAGATCTTGCCGTATTTACGTCCATAAATCATTCGGGTTCTTTCGGAAAGAATTTCGTCAAGTTTAAAAACAATAAATATGTTATTTACCGGCTAAGGGTCGGTCCGTATGGTGAAAAACTGTGACCTCGGTCTTGAAAATGCTGCCCTCGGCCTACGGCCTCGGGAAGTATTTTCAAGACCTCGGTCACAGTTTTTCACTATACGGACCTCCCAGCCGGCAAATAACATATATATCTGAAATAACATCATAAGAATTGTGTGACAGACAGACAGAAGAATTACGAATGAGATCTTGGAAGTGAAAGGGTTAGCGAAACATCTGTTTTTCGATTGTCTATACATGACTTCAGCCAGGAGTGCTAAGGTTGGTACAGAGTACAAACGGTTAGAGCCGCCTATATTCTTGGATAAAACCACGATAGGATGCTACTTCATTCTCTCTTGATAAATCTTACGGTGCAAGTAAAAGTGGGTTAAACTCAAGACTAGAGGCTTAAGTCTTGGGCTTTTCCTTCCAACTTTTTGTTGCGGTTTCATTTGTGCCTCTATCTTTTCATCTGCTGGCAGCCTAAAGTACAATTGGTAGCCTGGGTTTGAACTTCACAACTGAACTGAAAAGGCACCGTTTATGTTGTCCTCATGATTTACATGTATTTTATTGTAGCATTTGCAGCAACGTCATGAAAAATGAAAAAAAAAGCATTTTTGAATTTAAAACAATTGAGATTATTTTATGCCGGTGGAATGTACATAAAAGACGTTCTATTCCCTGCCCTTATTTCTGAGATAATTTTGGCCTTGCATGGCGCTAGGAATTTCATCAAAACAAAAAATAATTGACTTTTTTGCTAGAAATCATATCTATTGGCTTCGGTTAGTTATCACAAAAAATGGGCCAAAACGAGCGACATAAATCTTTCAACAGGACTTTATTTACAAGTTGGCTTCTCACACTAGCGCGTACTCTGGTATTGAAAAACGTTTGTTTTCCTTTGTGTGTTCTTTTTTACATCCTCCGCTTTTTAATTTTACTCTTATGAGATTTTACTTGAGACGCAAAAAGCTTATATTTCTGGTACTTTGATCAGAAAATTCATTGGTTAAGATAGGTGTTCACCCTTGTTAGTCCTCTATTTTGAAATGTTCTTTCTTTTGAGATGTGATCAAGAAATTGTACAGCATTTAGCGCAATCATCATCGCGATAAACGGATGAAACTTCAGAATCCAAATCGTCAACTCCGCAATTAAACCTCTTGAGTCTAGGGTTTCTTATCTCAGTGTAAACGGCATGTCCGTAGCGCTCCTCGTCGTAGTGCAAGCCAAACAAGTCACGCTCTACGTTAGACAAAAGACTGCGCAAGTTATTGACCTCAACATGCCTCGGTCCGAGCACTTGCAACAGGATTTCTAGTGCTCGTTGATAGAGATTCTTGGCCTTCTGCAAGTCACCCAAATCACATTGCAGATGGCCTTGGTTGCTGTAAATACGGGCAACATCGACATGCTTGGGTCCAAGATTTTTCCGCCGATTGGCCAGAGCAAGTTCGTAAAATTCCTTGGCCCTTTCCAAATTCCCCAATGTTCGCTGTACGTTACCCAGTCCAACGTAGGAAAACGACACATAGAGATGTTCACTTCCAAGGTTCTTCTGCTGAATGTCTAAAGAGCGTTTGTAAAGCTTTTCAGCCTCTTGTAGATTTTTCAACTCATATTCTACATTACCCAAATGATGGTATGAATTTGCCATCTCGATATGCTCAGGTCCAAAATTTTTCAGGCGAATGTTTGAAGCGTGAACATGATACTTCTTGGCCTGTGGCAGGTCACCCAAGGCACGATGGACCATAGCCAATTCATGGTAAGTGCGTGCAACGTCAACATGCTCAAGTCCAAGCCTCTTCAATTCAATGTCCAGAGCACGTTTAAAATGACCTTTGGCCCGCTGCAGGTCACCTAAATCTCGTTGCACATTACCCAATTCATTATGAGTATCAGCGACAGTGACGTGATCAGGACCAAGCTTGTTCATTGTTATGTCTAAAGCTAGATAATAATGTTTCTTGGCCTTTTGTAGGTCACCTGAGGCACGCTGTACCATACCTAAGAGATGGTGAGTACGTGCGATAAGAACATGCTTGGGTCCAAGCTTTTTCAGTTTTATGTCCAACGCAGGTTCATAATACTTTTTTGCCCTTTGCATGTCACCCATTTGACGCTCTACATCACCCAAGCTGCAGTACAAAAGAGCTACATTGACATGATCAGGTCCAAGCTTCTCCAGTTGAATGTGTAAAGCACGTTCGTAATACATCTTGGCCTCCCGCAGGTTTCTTAAGTCATACTGTACATCACCCAAGTGATGGTACGTATTTGCTACGTAAACGTGGTCGGGTCCACGCTTTTTTCGCTCAATATCTAGAGCATGCTCGTGATGCTTCTTGGCCTTTTGTAGGTCACCCATGTAACGGTGTACGATACCCAAGTTGTTGAGAGAAATCGCGACTTCAACATGTCCCGGTCCAAGCTTTTCCAGCCTAATTTTTAAAGAACGTTCATAGTACTCCTTTGCCTTTATTAGGTTCCCCAATTCACGATGTACATCTCCTAAGCTACAATAAGAAAACGCAGCATAAACATGATCAGGTCCAACATTCTTTAGCTGGATTTCTAAAGCACGATCATAATGTTCCTTGGCTTCTTTCAGGTTACCCAACTCAAAGTGTGCATTACCCAGATGATGATGGGTATTCGCCATACCAATATTCTCAGGTTCAAGTTTTCTGAGACAAATTTCTGAGGCTTGCTCATGATACTTCAGGACCTGTAACAGGTCACCCAAGGCACGATGCACCATACCTAAGTGATGGTAAATACATGCCACACGAACATGTTCGGGTCCGAACTCGTTCAACGTGATATTTAGAGCACGCATAAAATGCTCCCTGGCCTGGTTTGGGTCACCCATTTGCTGCAGTACAATACCTAGTTGGCTATAGATATCAGCAACATCTACATCTGCATGGGTCTCTTCTCTTTCGATCAGTTTCAAACCTGTGTCATAGTATGTTCTAGCTGCAGGTAATTCAGAGTGGTTTCGACAAATTGTTCCTAGCTTGTATAAAGAGTTGAGTGCCTTGAAATCATGTAAAACATCTCCAATTTCTAGAGCAAGTGCATTCAAGTGTGGAATGAGATGCTTGCTGTCAGCAACACAGTCCTCTTTGTACCAAGTGTGTGTTAGGTTAGTTTCTATGAATTGATTGAATGATGTTAGAGCAGCAGCTTTAACATGTCGATTGGGTTGGCAAAACTCCTTGACTACTGATTTCATAACGTCATGCACTACTTGATGCACACTAATGAAAAATCCATTTCGTCCTTTTTCGAGCATCAGCAGTGAATATCCTTGGATCTGAAGGGCAACTTCCTCTTTATCCAGGTGCTTCTCCTCAATCAAAACGTAATTGCTAACGATGTCGAGATGCAAGGGCTGAGGAGCAACGAGGGAGAGGAAAGTAAATGCAGTTTTTACTACGCTGTTACTGTTAATCACTCTTTCAATGGCCAGCTTTGTTGCTGCAGTCATGGATGTGCTGTAGCTTGAGTTCGTCTGTGTTAGTTCCTTCTCAGTAAGAGCTCGCATTCCTCTTTTGAGCTTCTCTAGATACTCTTTCCAGCCAAATTCTACGTTAACTCCTTCACGGATCTTTTTGACGTAGACAGCAGCGCTAGCCAAAGCTAGGGGTTGGTAATCTAACTCCTTCGCAACTTTATTTTCTAGTCCTTGTACTGTAATGCCAGAGATTTTTGTTAAAAAGCAACGCGCATCAGTAGGCACCATACCTTCGCTCACGGAAATGTGAGAAACAAAGGAGTTGTTTGAGGGGATGAAAGAAGTGTTCTGTGTTGTGATAAGCAACTGGCCTTTGGTCCATTGTTCGTTTCCAGGCTGAGGAAGGAAATCATGTATATCTGACACATTGGAAACATTGTCGACCAACAGGAGCCACGATCCATAGAGCTCAATTTTTGGTGCTATCAAATCTTTGAGGTTTTTTACTTTTTCTTCAACCTGCATCTCTGTTGATCCAACGATGGGCATCACTGCGTATTCGATACACTTGATCTGTCGCGCCAATAAAATATATGATTCCAAAAGCGTTTTTAAACTTTCAGCTTTTAGAGTCATCACGAAAGAAGGGTAACTATGGTCTTTGGTAACCGTTTTGTAGAACTTCTCAGCAACTAGACGGGCCAGTTGAGATTTGCCACTTCCAGGGTTACCAGAAATGTAATAGAAGCTCAAACCATTTTTATTTCTCTTTCTCAGATGTTCAAGTTGTTCCATGATTTTAGCGACCTCGAAGTCGCGTTTTGCGATCTCGTGGAATGGTTTTGGGGGGAGAATGCAAAATGAGGAAACGTCATAAAGTAATTGCTCTTCAAGGAACAGGCGGTGTTCTTCTGCGGTTTGTAGCTTAGCATTAGTTTCGCAGAGTTCTTGATATAGGCGATCAACGTCTCTCTGAACTTTCTGAAGCTCTTCCGTTGGGAAACTTGTCTGTTTACGAATCTCTTGAATCTTGACAGTGGAAAGGCCAAGAACCTGAAACGCAGTCTCAACTCTACGGACGGCAAGTATGAAAGGTTTCTCTGGCAGTTGGCCCCGTGGCATGTGAGCAAATTCTTCATTGCGAAACTGTCTGAGGTCATCGATAGGCGAGCAATCCATTGGGCTAAGTCCGCGAGAGACAGAGTTGGAGTTAAGGAGTACAGAAAACAGCGTTGTGCAATCCCACTCTGCACTATTTCCGTGTTTTATTGTCGCTAGTAGACGAGTAGGTTTTCGGCTCCCACTACACTCCATGTTGTAGAAGTCCAGTCCATTTTTTGGTGTATCATTCCATTCTCCCGACGGATAACGACGGTCCCATTCTTTTTTGAAAATTGATCTAAGTGCCTGTGTCAGTATAGTAGTGACTATGTAACAAATTCTAAAGTAGTTTAGCTGTTCTTCGGTGTAGATCATGTTTCCTGAGGCTGTTTCCCTCGTCAGTCAGGATACTTTTCTAAGTTTTCAAACCTGTTCAGAAACGATGTCAAAATTTGAATAAAATTTCAATTCCTACTAACGCTGACTTAGAGAATAATACATGGGCGCGCGTAGATATGGAATTTGTTCCCTCTGAGTGAGCACAGTGAACAAGTCATGAGATGTCGAGTTGAGCACCAGAAGGGAAATTTCATTTCTACAAGCAATCGTGTATTATTTTACTCATCATATAAACCCAAGAGCCCTTTACTAACAAGAAAAGCCATCTTTATTAATTATTGAAAACTAAAGGATCGATTATCCCCGAATAAAAATCATAAAGTGGGTTGGCGCTAAGGCTCAAGATGAAAAAATCCGTTGAGTCATTTCAAAAACAACAATGGGCGTAATTTTCAATATATGAAATTCTCAGTTATTGCCTTTTTCCTTACCGACAGGAGAAATCTTTCAGATACACGGCGAAATTGGCCTGTGCCAAATCTTCCAGCAGTCGATTTTCGTTCTCAGCTGCGAGAATGCCATTGCCAAAAACCTCTGAATAAGTAACTTTCGGTTTTTTTTTTCGTATTTGGTTTTCTTCCCCGTCTAGAGAGGGTTTAAGGTCGCTGTCTGTAAGCGATACGAATTTTTCAGTGTTTTAGCAGCCATAATCCGAGAAAATTCCGACAAACGACCTTGGATTGATAATGGTGAAGACTTTGCCGTTCATTCATCAACTTCAGCGAGTGGCGCGAAAGGCGAGTGACGTGTCAGCAGCTGATTTGCGATATCAAACACACTTGGAAAAATATCGTATTTTTTCACGTGTGGTGTTACGTATTTTTTCTCAGGGCTGGAAATCCTTTTGTAACACCGTATTTATATGATAATAGAAAGTTTCCACTAGTCTTAGCTATATATCAGATGTGTGAAAGGGATATCATAGTAAAAGTTCCTTACACATGAATCTCGCTGAGTCAATCACAACTCTTGAGTTTCTGCTTAAAATCATGATTTTGATTACTTAGCATAAAACTCTACAAGAAGGTAGCCCCTAAGCAAGTTTTCATTGGGTACCCTGTGATGTTCTAGCACGGTCTTGGGAACAGAGGGTTAAGAAAGACCCCATCAAAGTGCACATTTTCAAAAAGCTTAATAATTTTCTTTTATAAACTCATATGGTGAAACATGATAAACGATAGCAAAAACGAGTACTTTAACTGAATATCGTGTTCAAGATTGTGATTGACCTGCGAAAGTGAAATTCAATCATTTGACTGGTATGCTTTCGCTCGTTTATGAACCGACTTGGGACAAACTCTCTGTTCGTAATAAAAGGGAAGAATTCTGAAAGGTGCCAATTCCTTATCTAATTATTTCGGACCCTTATCTAATTATTCCGAACATTCTTGTTACAAGTCTGTTATTACCGTGCTACGCTTAATTATACACTTAATCTTAAATAACCCAACTGTCACCAAACCCTTAGCTTACTTACTAAATTAGAAAAAAAGTGTCACGCAATACGCTCACAAGATTATCACGACAGTATGCGTTCATCTTTACCCCGGCTCCCCTCCCCTCCCCCACACACTCAAGAATGTGCTGCACGTCCCCTATCTTAGCATCCAAAAATTTCAAATGACGCGTACCTAAACACATCAATGCCTTCCGTTTATAATAATAAAAGAATTAAAGAATTACCAATCTATTAGACACTTGAATCAAAGCCTTGCAAATCCATACAAAAGTTCCGGTAAAATAACATGCTTAATGTGCACATTTTTGTGGCACACTTTCGCTTTCCTTCTTTAACAAGTCAGCTTACTACGATTATACCTTTTGAATGATTGTGAAAACCAAGAATCTCTCTTCTGTTTCTTTACTCGGCACTAAATAATTTGATATGCCACACACTGCAGCCGTCAAATTCTGGTTGCAACTTATTAGGTATGCTAACTCGAACACAGTCACTGATCGAGGACCAAAGGGGGTGCACATCAAATCAAATGGAATAGAAAGCAAGCAAAACTCATATCACAAGTAAATTATGACAGATTTGAAGCGAATCAAGCCTCAAATCAACGAAAGAGAAATTTCCAAAAAGAAGAACCTTATATGCTTAAAAGTCTGAAATCCAAGCGTCTTGGCAATTTCTTAAAATAAATCAGATCTCGTGATGTCCTCCTTGATTGAAAGCTGGCTTCTTGACAATAACTTCTGAAAAACAGATCAGGTTTCGTGATGTGCTCCGATCAAAATGACACAAAAACCATGAAACCCAGGCGCGCGTATAATCATTACCACCAATCTTTTTACGTCGCAATTAGCGTATTTCTCCGCTGGTTCAGTTTTGTTTCAATCTCTATTAATCCTTGAGAAATATCCTTTCTGTCCTCACGCGTGTGTTATCCTTCTTCTATTTATCTCATTACTGGGTCACAACCTCTTTGCCGATGTCCGCCAATGGAAAAACATTCGATTATTATTTTTTTTAAACACTTCTCACTGATTATTTTCATCAATCTGTTTTCTTCTTTCGAAAAGCTCCCGCAAGAATCAATAATTTGTACTTTCCTGAGTCAAATTTAATTCAAAGTTTTCAACCCTGAGTACAAAAAAAATAAAAATAAAAAAGGAACTAATTTTTTTTTAGCGTGACTGTACCATGTATTAAAGTCGACATGATGCTTTTCTACACACATTACAATTTTATATGCATATATTTACAAGAAAACGAACCAGCTGCAGACTAACTCAGACACCAGTCGGAATAATTCTTCACTTTCATGATTTATCTAAGCCCTTTCTTCAATGATATCTTAATTCAACAAGAAAAACAGGTTTAAAAGTAATGCAAATGATTACGACGGTAGCAAAATATGCTTGATAAGCACATTTTTGTCGAATGCGTTCGCGTTCTTTCTTTAATAACTCTGCTTGCAGTGATTATAAGCTTTAAATGATTGTGAAAACAAAGGATCCTGTACTGTTTAAACTCTAGTGACCAATTAATTTGTTAAATTGACACACAGCTCAACTTATGGCCGCAATTTTGTATACCAAGTCTCTCTAAGCAGTCGCTCATCAAGGACCAAAGGAAGACTTGGAGTTGGAAAAAAAAAACAATGTCACGAGTTATATATGAAAAGGGTTTAATACTAATCAATTCAGACCTCAAATGAACGAAAGATGAATCCTGAAACAAAGATCTTTACACGCTTGTACAGTGTCACTTCTTCCTAATTAGGAAATTATTCAGGAGATTGTAATTTTAATTTACATTCAGATAACACTAAGCTAGGGGACACACTTTGAAGCCAGCTACGATTCACTCTCGACCAAGTTTCGACATAGCTCTCGATAACAAAATTGCCTGTAGTACTAGGGTTTTAAAAGATCCCACCTCGATGTGCGTTTCGTTTGCACATCAGATGCAGATGCAGATGATTCAGGGCAATGTATATTGGATTTTTTTCGTTGCAGTTGGAATATTCACAAGATCATATTTACACGAAAGAAGAATTCAGCTTAATTACTTTAAACAAAGGAACATGTGGGAAAATGCTTTTCTTCCTTTTTATGTATTGAGGATAAACATGTACTCACCATCTTGTATGTTGCAGGATGACACCAAACGCTTTTGGAGAGGCAGCTTTGCGCTGAAAGAGTAACATTGGTAAGGTAATTATCCCTAATGATGTAACTTGTTAAAAATATCCCATCATTCTATTTTATGAGGGGTGTAACTACAAGTCTGTGCAAAGGAAATTTTAAAACTCCCTTAACTTCGGTTCCTTGACCCCAGTGAACATCAAAGTTTGTCAAGTTTCGGCCGTGATCCAAGTTCTCTATATATGGTTCGCACCACTGTCTAATTTCTTGTTAGTGTGACTGCACGATTGAAGTCGAAATGACGCTTTCCTTCGCATATCACAATTTAACAATTACAAAAAAAAATATGCTGCAGATCATCTCAGACACATGATAATCAAAACGAATTCTTGACCTTTACAATTTACAGGGGGTTTCCCCTCAGTGATGCCATAAACAAGCAAAACAGTTTTGAGAGTAATGCGAATTAACACGTCGGTAACATAACATGCTTGATAAGCATATTTTGTCGAACACCTTCGCGTTTCTTCTTCAAGAAGTCTAATTGTTGTGATAATATGCTTGAAATGATTGTAGAAAGGAAGCACTCCTCTTTGAATTCTCCAGTAACGAAATAGCTGTTTAAATATGTCACACACAACTCAAATTTTGGCCGCGATAAAATATTCCAAGTCTACCTATTAGTCGCAGATCGGGGTTCAAAGGAAGACATGAAATTGAAAAAAAGATAACACAGTGTTACGAGTTATAAATGACAGAGATTTGAAACGAATCAAACCTCAGATGAACGACAGACGAATCCTGAAACTTAGATCTCCATATGCTTGTAAAGTGTCACCTCCCTTCCTTTTAGGAAGTCATACTGAAGGAATTGTAATTTTTTAGTTACATTCAGATTTCAGTGAGCTGTAGGACACACTTTTGAAGCCAGCCACGGTTCAATCTCAAGCACGTTTCGACCTCTCGAGGAAAACGCCTGTAGTGTTTAAAGTGATCCCGTCTTGATGAGGGTTTTGTTTGGGCATGTGCAGATTGAGCGCAGTGTACATTGAAATTGTTTTGGAAAGTGGAATTCAGCGTGATTATTTAAAACGAAGGAATATAGGAAAAATTCCCCTCTTCTTCTATATGTAAAGATAGTAAATACGCACTCATCATTATGAACTTTATAGGATGGCACCAAACACCTCTGGAAAGCAGTTTTGCATTGAAAGAGCAAATCGGTTAGTCATCCCTGCTAGTGTAGCTGTTAAAAATATCCCATATTTCTTGTGAGGCTTGAGGATATGCATTGGTACGCAACACGTGTGTGCCTAAAAAATATGAAAAGTTGCGAGCTTCTTATTCAACCACGCACATCCTAATCCATGGCCCACTTGAACCATTTTAAAATTGGTGTAATTTTTTTTTCTGAATCCAAAGTTTGATGAACACATTAGAAAATAGTGATACCATTTAACCCCATTTGATGTTCATTATGGTATATAGATAACTCAGTTGTATATTTAGGATGGGATGATTTTGCGGAATGGTGAATGTAGTTTATTGAGAACATGGTAAAATTACTTGTACCAATGTTGATAAAATTACTGTAGAACTACTGAACGATGTGAAAGTAATGTAATCAAGTAATATGGTTGTACCAGCTTATTAGATACTTGATCGATGAATAAGGACAGAATAGAGAAAGCAGTTGAAGAGTGAGTGTCTCCAATAAGTGAATACATAACAGTGAAAATAGTCAGGACTCAGACTCAAATGAGGCAAAAATTACCAGAAATAACTCAGCAATCTAAAGATGTGACGAGCAGCTGAAATAATGAGATCGAAAGACCTTGCAACCGTTTGAATGTTAACTATAACCGCTTTTTTCATGGCGGACGGTGAGAATTTCTCCTTTTTAACGTCATCATGTTTTTAGTGAGAGGGTTCACGGGAACGATTTGCTTAAACGTATTGCGGTCCTACAATTATGTTAAGAACTCTGGGAAAACGACAATGATGACGTTTTCAAAATGGCGGAAGGTGGTAGAATAGATGATACAGGATGGTAAAAACACCAAATACTTTGGTTATAGTGGTTTTGAAGACTTCTTCGAATGGTATATTGTACTCATAGTCTTTAAGAACACTGATAAAATCTTCAAATGACCTCTTTCAGGCACACAGACTTAGTTTTGGCGCTGTCAAAACAAAAGGATATCGACAGATTGCGCGAACTATGTAAAGGTCATAAAATCCCAGCCGAAAATCGAGCGGATGTTTGGAAGGTATTTATTTAATCGTTTACACTGAATCTGCACAAGACTTAAGGCGTGAATATTTATGAACGACGTTGCTTTTTTAAGGTTTGTCTAAACGTGGTTGGTAAACCAGATGCGTTGTCAAGTTGGGATGGACTACTTGATCTTAATCAACAGGATACAATCCGGGATGACTGTCGCAAACAAGCTGGTGAGTGTTAATTATAATTATCCATTGTTCTCTGTAGCGTCTGTGTTAAGTACTAAACAACTAGTTAGCTAAGTAATAGCCCGGCCCTTTTTTGAAATTATGTGTTTGAGTTGAGAATTAACAAAAGACGCTTGCTTTGATTAGTTCAGTATTAATTAGTGACTTACAAGCGTCAAATGTTAGCGTTTTCACTTCCTTTGGAAAATTTGAACTCTCTGTGTTCTTTGAGAATACTTTTCTATTTATTTCCTGTTTGATTAGCGATGATTTTGAGTTAAGATGCGTTAAATTGGACATGATCATGAAGTCATCTATTATTTTCCTCGAGTGTGGTGGCCTCATTCATAATATATGACAAAAGTTGAAAACTTAAAACTCGGACCCTTTTTGTTCTTTCAAATGATTTTTCATGCTGGTAGTCAACACTTGTACCACTCCGGAATTAACTCTCTAATTTTTTTTATATTATGCAAGACTTCCCATTGAAAGAAGGTTTATGTTGTTTTCTTTTTTTCAGTAGAAACTTAAGAGTGTCAGTGTTACTGATTTGTAAACCAACGTTAATACAATGAACTTTATTCCTGTCCAGAATGTAAATGTGGCAAGTTAAAGAAATTTTGCCTCAAATTGTATAGCTTAGCTAGGGTTGAACCTGAAGCAGCTATGTTTAACAGTCAGATCTATAAACAGCTAGTGATGTGACAAGTTTTTAAAGAATCAGTTTCATTCTCCCACAAAAAATTGGAGTTAGCCTGGCCTGTAACTGTCTTAATCAAACAAAAATTAACCTTCAAATTTTACTTATTGATATTCAACACATTAAAAAATTTATATTTAAATACAATAATGACGCTTAGTTCTCACTTCTCCATCTCTATGCTGACCTCTTGATGTTTTTTCTTAGTTTAGCCCTATGTAAACTGAAAACAGTTTTGCATAATGTTCAGTAATGCATATCATGACTTGTAAAGTAACCTTTATGCAAAAGAAGGATAGGAACAATGAATAAAAGGTTTTTCTAATTGCTATTTTGCTCTCTCATCAATATCTTTTGTTATGGGAAGGGGTGTTTGCAATGCGAATGATATTTGGTATTTTTGATGCCATTGATATGTGTTGAATGAACACCCTCCTCCTCTGTTAAGATGAGCTGTCTCATTACACCCATTCCTTCTGGTAGCAGTCAACTCTTTGCCTATGCCACTTTCTATTTGTCCCAGTATGGCTGCTGTGGTGAGTTTTAATTGCATCATATTAGCCAGATGTTTAAATCTTTGTTTGGTCATTTGTTTGTTGGTTTTCCATAGGCGAAATATTCCGTAGTGTTACAACCTGGTTTTGTTTCTCCAGTCCCCTTGAATTTCATAGAATTACTATGTATCTAGTCTCAGTCTGAAGTGTTTCGCTGTGCACTTAAAATGGATTTGTAACATTTTGATCCACTTGTGACTTTCAGACAATTTTTTCCATACTTAGACCCCATGTATAAGTCCTTCCATAGCTATGATCAAGTAGTCAAATATAAGGTTGGAAAAAATAATATTTCCTTTTGCAGTTAAACTTCGGCTGCCAGAAGATGAAGCAGAAGAGGTGGCTCGTGACATGGAGGGCATCATAACATTTTACTGTAAATCTCGAAATGAAAAGTACCATCCTACCAGTGGATTAACAGAAGTGCTTGCACCTTTTATGATGTTGGAGCTGCCCATGAATGATGTTTACAATTGCTTTTATGCAATGCTCTACAAATACATACCCAGGTGACTACAAGATTCATTGACCTCATTCACAGTGAATTATTTCACTTCTGCTATTTTGATTTATGTCCTCTTTCTCCTGTTAGGCATGAATTGTAATGAGTTATGTACATAGCAAAGTTCTGATTAAAAAAAACCAACAACAAATTTATATTTTAAACTGCAACACTACATTTATTTAATGTTGCAAACTGGGCAATGAAATGATTGATTGGTAACGTTAAGAAACATGTACATTTTAGCTCCCAAGTGTTTCATTTAATCAATACCATATACTTTATTATTAATCATATCTTGTCCAATTAAACAACTGTCTTGGTTGTCACACTAAAGTGTTCTGAAAATACAGCAACATGAAATCTGTAAAGTAAACAGTTTTCATATGAAGTTTTTACCCACAAAACTTACAACATTAGCAAAGGAGCAAAATCGCTTTTGTTTACATGCAGACTTAACATGAATGATGGAAAACTTTTCTCCTGATGTGTACAATGTATTCAAAAAGTTAACTTCAGGGTGAAAACAATTATGTTTCTTTGTTTGGGAGAGAGTTTGTAAAATGACATCCACTTGGAATGATTAATCACTTACCGGTAACCCTTTAACTCCCAGAATTTGATTGTTAATTCTCCGCTCTAGCTGCTTCATATTTCCTTGTTAATAAGTGGCAAGAATTTGGTGTTAGATCAAGATAACAACTTTTACCAGATACATTTGAGTACTCTCATTAACTGTTTGTTGGATAGTGGATAGATATTGTAGGGAGAAGTTACATGTGAATCACTGCTGGGAATTAGGGTTAACTAGTCTTATACTTATTTGCTATAATTATTATTTTTTGTTTATCTATTTATTGATTCATTTTGTTTGTAGAGACTGTGTCCGAGATGGAAAGCCATTTCATTTATATAGACTCCTCTTACAGTACCATGATCCTCAACTGTGTTGTTTCTTAGAATCTAAAAAACTTTGGCCTGACATGTATTGTCAAAGATGGGTAAGAATCTGCATCTTCCTGTAATAAACACTTTTTGGGATAGAGATATGTACTTTTTCCTGTAGAGTTATGTATTTTTGTTACTGAATGTCTATGTTTATGTTTGGGTTGACCATTGCCATTTAAATTGTAGGAAGGTTTTTTCATAACTTTTTTTTTTCTTTAAGCTACGAAGTCTCTTTATGGTAGCCTGTGAAACAAATGTGTTAAGAGCCATTTGGGATGTATATCTCCTGGAGGCTGATCCCTTTTTGGTCTTTTTCCTTATGCTTGTGATGGTCATTAATGGCAGGTGAGAACTAAAACATTTCTTAATGTATTTTATTTTCTAATGCTTTATCCTTACCCCATGGTTTGAATGTAATGGATACCCAGACATCTCTCAGTCTTCATTACTAAATGCTATATAGCTGTTCTTGTGTTAGGGTCACAGTTTAAACCCCTAACCTTTTAGACACATGACTCCTTTTGCTGGGTATCTCTTGATTAGATGCCATGGATAGATATCAACCTAACAAACTTGATAATTACATTGTTTGATTGTTATGTAATTAAAAGTTATCCTGAGCATTAGTCAACTTTAAAGTCAAATGAATAGCTGTTGGCATTTAAAATAATTGAAATTAAGGCATAAGAAAGGAGCATTGTTGGATATACAATGTACTGGTTCATGCCTGCTGGTTAAGATGCATATTGTGTGTTTAAGTTATCTTTTGTAAAACTATGCTTTGTTCAGGATAGTGATCTACATTGTATCTGATGAATAGAGCTTACCTCATTTAGACAAGAGTGTGTCACACCCTTTCTTGTGAAATTTTCATTTTAGAGATATGCTTCTAGAGATGGAACATGAAAACAAAACAGAACTACTAGGTGAGAAAAACTAATTGTGCCGACTATAAAATTCTTCTTTTCTGACTGTGTTATTATGACTACTTCTAGTAATAATAGTACTAATCAAAAAAGGATATTGTAGTTGGAAATGAATTTTAAGTTGTATCAATTAGACTAGTTACAGATTTACCTTCTACAGGTGTATAAACCATAATCCTAAATATGAGAAATTGAGTTATTTTGAGAATGATGTTTGTTTCTGAATGCCATACATTGTTTTAAAATTCCATTCTCCCTAAAGGTTCTAAGCTAGCTCAAATGCTACACATAAGTTTGTGGGAGAAAAACTGATTTTAAAGTAAGGGCCACAGTTGTATCAAGTTGCTATTTGCTTTGACTCTGTTTTTTTTCCCAGAGACAATTTCTTCCATTCCTTTACAATTGGAGGAAGATGACATTGAAGACTTTTGTTCATTAGCTCAGCATTATGCTTCAAGAACACCACAGTCTTTCAGAAAGGTTGGTGCTAAAGCTGTATTTTTTGATGTGGCTTTCTTTTTCTAATACTGTACGAGGCAATTTGTGTTGCATAGTCATGTACATGTAATTTACAAGAATATGTCTTTATTATTATGGAAAATGAACAGTGATTATACAAGACACATTTATAAATTTTTCCTGTTACTGTCAACTTTTTTTTGATATGGGTTATTTCTAATATTATTTATGTTAGATAAAGGGTTGGAAATACAATAGTAAATGACCAAAAAAAAAACACAGAAAGAAGCAGAAAGATTTTCATATTTAGGATTCTTATATTTGTCACATGCTTTCATCGTATCAGAAATTGGAAAACCCTTCCCAAATAAGTAAACTCAGTTATCAGCCTAAAAGCAGATATTAGATCACAATTCTTAGTCTTTGAAATTATTTTTATCTGTTTTACCTTGCAGGAATATTATAACCAGTTGTTTGGTATAAAAACCATCAACTCTAACAGTGTCTCTCAAGCATTGTGTCTACCTGTCTCTGTGTCTGAACTTGTTGAAGTCAATCAATCCTCTAAAGTATGTTAAATGCAGTTATAACTAGCCATTCAAAGTTTTGATTTACAGTGAGAAAACATTATGCAATTTCCTGTATTAGTGACCGTGACTGAATGAAGGCTTTAACCTTTACAACTCAATGTCAGTATGCACATTCTCCATATTGTTTTCTATACATTTTGACAAGGAGAATTTGATGAAAAATCTAGAATTTTTTAAATTGGTGATCCTTCTCTCTATTCTAATGACCTTAGTATGTGATTTAGGGGTGATAATGTAAGGAGATATAATTGTTTGTCACTTTTAGGGGTTTATATGGGTGTCTACAACATAGTACAGTCATATTGTAAGTTAAAAATGGTGTTGCTTGTTGTTACAATAATGATCATGTTTTGTGCCTTGTCAGAAGGATGGTGTGAGATTTTTTGTGGTGGACTGCAGGCCAGCGGATCAGTACAACAGTGGCCACCTTCCTACTGCCTTTCACTTGGATGCTAACCTGGTGAGAGTAGATCAGTCATTCAAGTGCTTGATTTTGGTAGAAGGAGGTAACACTGAGATCAGCATGTGCCAGCAGCTGAGCTAAACATTGAACTATAGACCAAATGTAATAATGGAGGGAAACTTCATATTTTTATAAATAAAGTGTCATAGGCAAAGGGGTGTTGGAACATTGTTATCAATTGTTTTAGTTGATAGGTTTCTAATTGCTGAATAAAATTTTTTCTTGGCATCCTGTTTTAGTTCGAAATTAAAGTTTAGTGGTGATCAGTTTGTGACAAGCTTGTGCTGTTGGGCAAAAGACATGTTTAAGATGCTATCCTTGAAATGATAGCTACTATAGTACTTCAGAACTGGGAAGAAAACCTTCAAGGATCATTGAAGAAGTTCCCTTCAGACTTTCACCCAACTGAAATTTCTCTAAACACCCTAAGTGATTGTATTGAAATTTGTATAAATTTTCTCACTATTACTCAAGTCTAACAGTGTCCAAAGTCATGTAACTTGTATCCTTGATTACAGATGTTACAAGCTCCATCAGAGTTTGCTACAGCAGCCAATGCATTGTTTGCCACTCAGCAACAGTCTATTGAGGCAGGATCAGCTGCAAGTGGAGAGCACTTGTGCTTTATTGGCTCAGGACGAGAAGAAGAAGACCAGTATGTACACATGGTCATTGCTAACTTTCTTCAGGTAAGTGCATAACTGTCAGTTGTCAATGTTATTGCATGGGTTTGGTAAAGTATATCACTCAAATTATATCTCAGCTACATGTATCAGTTTAATAAGCAGTTGCATAATTAGACTGCAGACTTTGAAGGTAGGCCCTATTAAGAAAGTGTTTGCAAAAATTTCAGTGAGCGTCCATATTCCTTTCAAATGATGGCTCATACACTGTACACTATTCAGTGCACAGTATTTCCATAGTAAGCATGCCTGTATGATCATACTTGCTTTTCTGTATGATTGATCAGTGCATAAGGAGTGGGTTCTTCCCATTACCAATAAACTACCCAAATCTGGTTATTTTCTAGAAAATTTCATGTCTTATTTCATCACTGATTGATCTTGATGCTTTGTTGTTCTCCAGAAAAAGTCCAAGTATGTCAGTATTGCTCGAGGGGGATACCAAGGTATTATTTCCTCTTAGCATGAAATACCTGTGTTTAAACTTTGATACTAAATTGTAAATACCTTAAGTTTGTGCTCAATACCTTTATGCTCAGCGGTGAAAGTTAATGACAATACACATGTACAGTAGTTATACAATTACCCCAAATTCTATTCTAAGATTGCCACGGGGATGATGAATGTAGAATTAGTTTGCTACTTAAGGTTAGTTTGTGAAGAAAACTTTTATTTCCAATGGAATGTTTTTTTTCTTTTTCTCAGCTCTCCATGAATTATTATCTGACAACTTGTCAGTAGGACTAGCAGACCACACTCCAAACACTTGCATTGTTTGTACACCAGAAGCCTTTTCAGAAGATGAGGTGAGTAGATAATCGAAAAAAAAAACCTCAGTGCACACAACTCTCAGGAGCTAAAAAAGGCAACCAGATAAAAACACAAATATGTTGAATACAGGAAAAATCACTATTATGTTATCTAATTTTGGATGGATGTTTTGTAGAGTTATCATGAACTGTCAAGAGGGGAACAGAGCCCTAGTGATTCTAGAGTAAGTTTCTAACTAAATTGTGTAGATTGATTACATTTCATGAAACCACAAAAAAAAATGACAACAACGACGACAGCAACCAACAGCACCCATTAGGTTTCCGAGGGGAAGTTACTGCCAAACAATGTAGTTACCTAATTTCACTGAGTGTTTTGGGAGGCCCATGTCACACTCCAATAACTTGTCTAGTTTACATTGACAATGATACTTGGCTCTGCCAGTTTCAGTCTGTTTCCTTTTTCTTTTTTCCTACATTGATTAGGACTTATTTAAGATTGCAATAGAGTTTACATATCACTCCTTTGGACATATCCTCTAGTCTGTCCTACAGTATTGGTCTGCTTTCTTGGGTTTGGTTTTGGTTGAAAAATAACAGTTCCTGGATAATCCAGATATTTTCTGGTTCCAGTAGTAACCTTTTACTCAAACTGTACAATTTATTCCATAACATAAAATCATGTTTGCTACATACAGGGTGGCCTGGTCAGCATGTTGTCCTCAGCTATAAAATCAGGGACTCATGTAACACAGAAAATAGGAAAATACATTGCTGAATCGCATCAACCTGTGGAAAGGTAAGTATTCAGTAAACAGGTAATAAGAATACTCAAACCTGTGGGACAGAAGTTGTTATCTTTATCCAACACCAAATTTTTGTAACTAATTTACAAGGAAATGTTTAGCAGCTAAAGGAGAGAATTAACAATCAGATCTTGGAGAGTTAAAAGAAAATTCAGAGAGTGTTAAAAGAGAACTCGGTTTAATTCTTTTTGTCTAGAATTTGATTATTGGATGCTCTAAAAAGAATAAGAAATTTATCCTGAAAAGAATTTTCAACAGAGGAATAAAGAAATCCGTAATTTCAAATTTTACCCAGCCTCTGAAAAACTGGCCCAGCTGGATGACAGCTTTAGCTACTTTACCAGCTTCATACTGATCTCACAAGCAAACTTGTTGCTATATTTTTGTCCAACTAGTGGTGAATTTATATTTTGCTATTAGAAGCTCAAACCTTGATAATTAATAGAACAGGAAATAATTTGCTTTAAAATATCTTTTTTAATCTTGGCATAGATACAAGATGTATTTCTCTTACACAATTTTTTGATATCAAAAGGATTAAACGGGTCAAGCTTCTTTTATAATTTCACCATGATTGTACGTGATACCCACTTGAGTTTTTTTTTTTACTTCGTTGCTGTATTTGGATTAAAAGCAGAGGTAACTGAACTGCGGAGAATCCGTGAGTTAAACGTTTATTAAGCAGAACTGTTTTATTTTGTACCAGACACGTTAGTGAGAAAGACAGACAGAGCAAGCTATATAGAAACGTACAACCAGTGTTCAGTATTGACGACGAAGATGAAGAAGGAGGTAATTATTGATTTGTATTCCACACAAGTTTATTTCTTGAGATAAGATAGAAAAAGTTCACTAACAGAGGAACGTAAAACCTCAAAACAGGAAAGCAAGAAACTAGAGTTCAGGCTTCGATAGGATTCAAACCTTTGCCCGTTCTCTTAAATGTTGATTTACTATTTTGACCAACTGAAGTATAAGCTACAGGTTTTGGAGCGTGGAAAATGTCAGTGGGCCCTTTGTTTCCCAAAAAAGGAATTGCGTCACTCCAGAAATTAGGTTATGTGAGCTCAGCTGTTGCTGTTTCCCGGGTGCCATCTGTGAGGCACCGGCGTGTTCATGCTCCGTTAAAACGGCTTTATTTCCTGCAGTTACTTCAGTTGCAATTCGAAGTTTATACTCAGTTCGTAAAATGTAATTTTTTATTTGAAATATCCTTCAGTGAATTTCATATTGAGTGTTTACCCCTTTGCGAACGCATGTCAGTTAACTTGTCGATTTGCATCCCATATTTGTCGGTGTTTAGAAAAAGGAATAGCATGGTTTTCAATGTACATGTAGGCACCAGATTGTTATGTGTGGGTATCTTTAAAGAAAGACTATTTTGCAAGGAGGGAGATGGACAATACAATGGCTAAATGACGTCTTGTCAACAGTCGAAATGAAACCTTCTAATAACCTTCCTTAGTTACAGGGCTATAACATTTCTTTTACCTTGCTAGATAATGGCAGTGCAAGCTCAGAGGAGGAAACACGCAAGGAAGCAGTGAATATAGATACATGGCTTCATCGTAAGGATGTGGTAGCCTCATTTAAGTGCCATCAGATCATCAGGAGTGGATACTTGACACCAAGGTACTATATATAACATTGAAATTTTTTAACTGCACAATCATTGTCTTTACTCCACCATGTCACCTTTTAGAAAGTTGGAAACTGCTCTGAGTACACAAACAACTAATTCAGGTTCTGATCTTAGCAGAACTTTGCTAGCTCGAACGGTTCTAAACAGTTTGAGATAACAATAAATTTGATTAAAATAATAGGAAATGACTGGAGATCTTTATAACATGCAATATGCCTTTCTTGTTCTGACGACATCCCAAAAAATCCTTTGCATCTCTCTTTTTATGTTGTTCTTTTTAGAACAATAACTTAAAAAGTTTGAAGCGGGGATTTATGCGTTGTGCAAGCATTAGTGAAAGGCTTCATTAAGAAAAAAGTGTGACGTACTCAGTTTCGTGCTGACGTTGGTGTTTGTTGGATCTCTCTAACCTATGTTGTTTTCTCCTTTTTTCTGCTTTCTTTCTTTCTTTACATTATTTTGTTTTGCAGCTACATTCTCCTCACAGATGTTCAAATGTTTATTTTACGCGAGATACCTAAAAGAGATGGCTGGGCGTTCATTCAAAACAGGCATCATCTGACTTCAGTGGTCAAAATAACTTCGAAAAGAAGACATCCAGACTTGATCACATTTAAATATGGAACAAGCGACGGAGAAACAATTGAAGTGACTGAGACAGAAAGATATGTCATTCCTAATGCGAAAAAGGCGACGCAAAAAATCAAGGATAGAATACTAAAATTAGTTGACGAGTCGTGATATTCGGCTCAACCTCTTCACGAAGGGTAGTTATTGTTTGCGCAAGAATTAGAAGCAAAATGAGGTTGGCTTCGCCAAAGGCTGATTTTTGGAGTGATTGTTCCAATCTCATTTCCATTGTGTCAAACTGTTCTCTTAAATTGACATACGTTTCTTCGTTCTTAAGAGTTCATGGATTGTGTGTTCGTTTCTCTTAACGCAGTGACCATGAATCCTCATTCTTCAGCAGCTTGTTGGGAGGCCTCGTGTCTCTTCTATCAGATTATCAGATCTGTAATTTTCACAATAGTGAGCCAGGAAAGAGAGTAACATATTTCTTTATTCAGCATTTTTTTTTCTCCTTTCTCCTTTTTCTCTGAAAGAAAGACAAAGTCCATAGCAAATTTTCGGAAAAACACAACAAAACATTTAAAAAATTTAACATACGACCGAAGAAAAGATACAGATTTTGCACTATATTCTGGTCAGTGTCCGGTTAACAATTCAAGAATTAGCTTTGATTTTTTTGATGGAATTTATTTAGCGAACGTCAGAGACTTCATTCTCTATAAGAGGCATGATTATTTATACAGAGTAAAGAACTTTATTAATATCTTGATATAAAATTGTAGATTGTGTCAATAAAATGTGATATATCTACGTTGTCGTGAAACATCTGGAATATAGTACATAGGACAGCTCTAATACAACCCTTTGACAACTTCTCTTCAACCTTTAGCAGTCCCTCTGGCCTCAGAACTTAGTGTTTCGTAAATAACACGAACGGAATTTTAATTAAGTTCATTTCGTTCGGTCTGTACCGGCGACCTTTATCAAGATTCTCCCAAACAGCCATGCTACACGGTTATCAAGGGGTAAAGATGCCTAAAATGGTTCCTATATTCCATAATAGTTATGCTAAATGTTAGTTCAAAGATTAGCCATTCCTTTGTTCGTTTCACGTATTTTATTAATTATGATAAATTTACACGTATTACACGCGAGTATGAAAGCAAAGAGCTGAATAAAAGTTTCAATTCCCTTAAACAGCAATGTCTAGAGCGGTACACAAATGACTAGTTGAAACTGACGTGTTCAAAGTGCGCATCACCATATGAAAATAAAACAAAGACTAGAAACTCAAGAGCAGTAACTCGTGGCATCGTGACAAGAAATATAAAAAAGAATCATATGCTACATCCATATTCTTATTCTATGCCCTAAATTCCATATTGTGGCTACTTTTCACGTGTTCATTTTACCATAGAGCTCAAAGGCCGATGCGTTTTTCTTTGCGATTAGATGTCGGTTACCGAAGAAAAGAAAAAAATATTCCTAAACTTCTGGTATTGACGTTTTGATCCGTACTAATAATAAAATAATCAATATTAAAACATAAATAAAATTAAATGCAGGTTATACAGCTCACCATGGGCGTAGGGAGCTGATGAAGAATTCAGTAAAAACAAATCGTAAACCTAATTTGGGATTGTCTGTGGCAAAGTAAGAAACGATCTCCTTGTCTGTCTTATTTTTTGAGAACAAGTAATTGATGTCATCTGCAAGGGTCTTGGCGAGGGCGTAACCATCCTCTGGGAATGGAGTTTCAGAGTCGCTGACGGAAACCACTTTTGCCTTGATCTGGTCCAAGGTCTTGTTCAGGACGTATCCCTGAATTGCGTAATCCAGTGACTTTTGGTAGCTGTCGAAATTTCCGGAGATCTTCTCCCATGTTGCAGCCATTGTGGTCAGCTGAGTATAGCTCTTAGCTGGGAGCCCTGCATCTTTAACAATCTCATCTAATGCTGTTGTCATGGCCGTCTGGAACTTCGTAACTTGCTTCTGCTTCTTGTTAACCTCATCGATTGCGTCATCGAGCTTCTCCAATGTCCAGACTCCCAGTCCTATTGTAGTGGCAAGGCCTGCTATTCCGAACACGATCCCAGCGATATTTAGACCATTTATGGCTTTAGTGAGCTTTGGAGTTTCTGTAAATGAACTTTCGGGCTCTACCACGGCGGGAGGCTCGACGCCGTCAAGAGGAACGTACTCGAAGGGATCCTCCACTGGTTCTGTGGGCTCCTCCCCTTTAGCTTTGCGATTACGAAAGTAACGGACAATTTGAAGCACTCCCGCGCCCAGTCCTGCCGCATCTCCAGCGTAGCCCATTACTTGAGCCACTGTTTTAAAGGCTGATTCAGCACTGGTATCTGAGATGCCGGTTGTGATGTCCTTCTCCACTTTGTCAAGGAAGTCGCTTGGCAGTTTGTCTAAGGCCTTCTTTACACGATCAAGGTTAACAGCGACCATGTAGTAGATATGATCGTACATGTTGCCGGCTGCGGTGACATCTTTGCTTAGTTTGTCTGCTTTTTTGTTCAGATCATCCATTTTGTTTTGTTCAGCGACACCAAAACCGATGCCGGCTCCGATGTTTCCCAATCCAAGAGCGACGTTAGTAAGTGCAAGAGCGACTCCAGCCATCTTTTCGTAATTATCTGTTCTGAAATTGTTTGTACTCCAAATCAAAGTGCGACTCTTTTAATAAAAACTCGCTCTATTTATAATTACAATTCGATGTGCATAAATGAATTATTCAGCGAAATGACGTCATTAATTTCCTCCAAACGTGACCTCAAACTTTGTGTTAACACTTTTAGTAGAAAGTGAACTTCTCTTGTGTTACACAATGCTCTAAAATTCGCTGATGATAAGCTATCATTTTTTCACTCACATTTGGCAATAATAAGTTATATTTTTTGGTCTTATTTTTCCGCTTGTTGACGACGTGACTTAAAAAGGACGCCATAATACGTGCCGTCATGCAAATTTTCTGTTGTAAATAGATCGACGTCACCTCTAGGGACTGATGTCTGACGTAAAGGAAGTAAACAATCTGTGATCGTGACTTTTGCTTCATTCGAAATGTTTGTTTCACGTATTACAGGCGGGCCAACTTATTAATTCGTTGTCTATCAAGACAAACTAAAAGAAACATGAAGAAATGTCAGGCGGTTATTATACAGTCATGCGACTAAACGTGATGTTAGGTTTTGTTTTGCTTTTTTTGCCTCTCTGAGCAATTCAGAAACAACTTGTCACCGACTCGTTTTCTACCTTTGGCTTCATTCAACTGACTTACATAAATTTTAAGTTAACTTCTCTGAGTAAAATCTTTTGATATTTAAAAATCCCCCAGTTTTCACACAAGCCTTCAAATGCGTTACATTAACTCAAAATGTTTTTCTATGGACAAGCCAGGTAATAAAATTCACGCGTGTAACACGGAACGATAGTTATTTCTTGTCTTGAACACATTCGATAAATAGTAAGCAAAAGCTAAGGTTCATTTGCAGACGTGACAATACCGACCTAACGACGGATGTTGTTGGCTTACATTTCAAAAACTCGCGGTATTTACATAATCCTTGTCGTCACGTCACCTTGGTGGTAACGTTACAAATGATTTCCATAAATTCCGGAAACCCCAGAAGCGACGTGACAACGTGGCGAAAATTGCTCACTCATGCGGATTATAGAAATATGAGATCAGGGATATTTCATGTTACTAACCGGATATTGTCCTGTTCGTGACAATATATCAATTCACAATTGCTGGTAAACTCTCAAGAATTATCCTTTCTCAAAATTAAATATGTAATTGCATTTATTGTAAAAAGAAATAATATGGAAATCCTAAGTGATGGAATTGCGGCGAACTGACGTTCTAGACGGCATTTAGTCGGACAATTTACTCTGAGTTTGCCGACGTGAACAACCTTTCTTTGCTGGTGCTATTGTTGCATACGGTGACGTCAGTTAAATTACTTCCTATGCGTTTAGAAAATCAAGCCTAAGCCTAAAGCACGTGTTTACAGTAAAACATGGACTATCCCTGACACTTTCTATCGTGGTTCCTACAATCTGTTAAGTACTTGTCAACAGATTTACCACGAGATGTCGGTGAGGTCAGCGAAAAGTTAATTTCCTTTGAAATTACCGATACACTTGTAACCATAAGGCGACGTGACGCCGTGACGACAATTGTCCACTCATGGTGATAAACAATGAATATGCAAATACAGCGAGTTTTTATTTAAGATGTTAGCCAACAGAATTTGTCGCTAGTTTTCGTTCATCACCCACAACACACGTTCTAGCAGGAGCAAAGATGGCAGAACTCAGTATTGGGCTCGGGAAAGTTTTGCTCGGTCTAGGAAATATTGGAGCAGGCGTTGGGTTTGGCGTCGCCGAGAAAGAAAAGATGAACGAATTAGACAGCAAAGCGAAAAAGCTTAAACAAGATGTAGACAAAGCCAGCGACCTCTACGATGAAGTGTACTATCGAGTCGCTGTTAATCTGGACCGCGTCAAGAAAGCTCTCGACAAACTACCCAGCGACTTCTTAGACAAGGTCAACGAGCAAATTGCTAAGGATACTTCAGCTTCTAATGCTGAACAGGCAGTGACCACTTTGGGGAAAGTATTTGGCTATACCAAAAACACCTTGAAAGTGGCATCCGGATTACTTCAGATTGTCCGCTACTGTCGTCAAAGTAAGGCTGAAGGTGACGAGCCCACTACAGAGCCTCTCCCAGATCCTTTTGAACCCGTACCATTGAATGGCGAGGAACCGCCAGTCGTCCCCGAGGCCGAAAGTTCGTTTTCCAGCACTCCCACGCTCGACAAAATAATTACAGGTCTCAATATCGCTGGTATCGTGTTTGGACTGGCAGGCCTTGCCACTACAATTGGACTGGGAGTCTGGACTCTGGATAATTTGGATAAAGCAATTAATGACGTCGACAAAAAGCAGAAGCAAATAAAACAGTACCAGAAGGCTATGACGGCAGCCCTGAATCAGATCGCAGCGGAGGCAGGTCTACCACCGAATAGTTACACTCAACTGACATCCTTAGCTGCTACATGGGAGGAGATTTCTGCAGAATTTGATAGCTACCAAAAGGTCCTGAACTATGCAGTCCAGGGATATTTCCAGGATAGGCCACTTAAAGACATCAAGGCAAAGGTTAACGCCGAAAGCGACCCGGGAACATCATTTCCGGATGATGGGTATCCACTCGCCGAGACCTTGGCAGATGACATCCGGCAGTTGTTCCAACAGGGCAAGACAGACAAAGAGATCGTTAGTTATTTTGCAAATGATAATCCAAACATAAGTCAAAGGTTTGTGTTCGAGGAATATTTCATAAGTACACTGCGAAATTGATAAAGTAAAACTTTAATTTAAGATTTGCAAACAAAATGTCAATATCGAAATTAGAAACACTTTCCTGTTAAAAACTTATTGCTACAATCAGATTGATTTTCAAAAAGACTCTATATCTAGACTACTATATCTAGTATACATAGTCTCTTTTTAATAATAGCGAGTTATGCAAGTCTTTATATCGTGTACAGCTCTAGGGTATCGTTCAAAAGTCTCAAGTTTGTGAATTTACCAAAACTCAGGTCTGCTGTTTCGGATATCGACACGTAGTTGGTGATTGATATATGCTGTCATAATAAGTGTAACAAGAATAAAAGGAATTTGATAAACAGGCGGGTATAGAATCATTTACTCGGTTTTGTTATCGAAAAGGAATCCTTATATTTTCAACAAAAAATGTCCGACGTCGAATCAG